CGGTTGCAGCCCAGTTGATAAAAAGGTTGAGAACCACTTTCTCTTGGTCTCTCATTGTCCCTGTGATGAGCTGACAATAGAGACTCACTGAACGCTCTGATATTCCCTGAAACGCCTGACAGCAAGGGTTCAGATCCCCTGAGTGGAACTGGACTGTCAACTCACTAAACCTTATATACTGTAGAAGATGGGCTTCACACAGGTGACACCAGCTCCATAATAACTTTGTGAGTATGCAATCTTAATGCATTCTTGAGTGTATCTGGAGTGTATCAGGATATCCTGGTTACTTAACCCTTTATCTGACCCTCCAGATCCTGTTGCCCTCTTATACTCATCCATCTAACAGTCTCCCATCATCAAAATTTTATGGTTCAGTTTTGCCAGATGTAGAATGTTCTCTGAGGGGAAATGGATCAGGGAATGACCAACATAATTTTATTACAAAAACATTATTATTTAAATAATAATTCAAAGGTTAACTATAATTATTAACTACCCACATAAATGTATCAATCTACTTTAAAGATATTGTCTATCATTGTGAACACATAACCTTTAAAAGAGCCAGGAAGACTTGTGGAGCATACCTTTTTTGTTTGTGTAGAATAGATGTCAACGGTGCGCTATTCCTCTAGATTTCTTTTTTATTTTTGACAAAGAGATCTATAAATACATGTCTTTGGATCCATTCCTTTCACAGTCATAGTAATTTATCTCAAGCAGTTATTTATACACCTCAAATCTAGAATGTCCCAGTGAACCATGATTTGCAAGGTCCATACTGACTGCAAACCTTACTTTTCTATTTATTATCATATGAGAGGAAAAGAAAAACATGAGTCAATGAGAAGGGCAGAGGAGGTAAAATAACACAACACAATCAGGTTTTGATTTCCTCAAAGACAAAGTCAATTGTTCCGAAATGCATTTTACTAGCTAAATCGAATATATTTCATACATTAACTGGCCTGCATGAGGAGAAATGTAACCGACGAGTCATGATGAGTACGGCCTAAAATTCCACTTGTCAAAAAGCTGCTGCATTTGAAGCACTACAATTCAATCCAGTATAAATAACATTAAATAAAAGCTTTTTTATGGATGCACATTCAGTTTTTCTTGGTTCTGCTTTTTTCATAGCAATCCATTGATGGCCGTTCTGAGCACATGTACACCAACCCTCTGCCTAAGTATAAAAAGAAAATGAAGCTGGTGTTTTTGGCTAGAATGCATAATGAAAGGAAGAAAGTAAAAAAAAAATCTGTATATGGGAAAATGAAAACAAATTATGTGTGATTGTTAAACACAAGATGAAAGGAAATCAATGTAGTGCTACAATAAAATGTTGAAGAAAAGTCGAAAAATGAAAACAAAGATTTAAGATATTGTCTGTGTCTGTGTGACCACTGTGAACATGACTGTATTATTCAGTACTTCAGTAATATTCCATCTGATTCCTCATGTATTGTTTTAATTTGTACATACAGTACTCCAGTATTTGTTCTCCACCATAAAGAAATAATTAGTGAACAGAACAGACACCTGTTGATTAAAAAAAATGATTAAAAATACAAAGTGTGTCTTTATGGAAAATATTGGCACCTCAAGCTATTTAGGCATTGAGGATTTCCTCTTGAGGACAGTGATTCTTTTTTAATGGAAAAGTGATTATTTGAAGCCGCAAATGCTTTGTTCTACAAACTGCTGTGGCCAAATGTAATCCAATTTGGATCCCAAACATTACAAAGTCTTACTCACCATTGATGTGTGAATCCCGTGAGCCATGCTTCAGAAAGACTTATTGAACTTTTCAATCCTCATATTAGATTACATAAGGAAACTGCCTTAAACCCAATTAAGATTCAGCCTTTTTTTACCCATGGATTTGAAACATTGATGAAATATATAATGCACCACTTACATATCCACAATTCTATCTGTTTTTCTGCAATTATGCCCAGCAGTCAAATTGATTTACAATACCAATGTGGGCTGTGAGGTCCTACTCAAGTAATGTGAGATGGTTGAAATCGAGGCGAATGGCAGGCTGGTGTCGAATGCATACAGTAGTTGTCATACTGTATGATCAAGAATACACTTTCAGAATTTTTCGGGTTCCTTTACTTGGTTAAATTGTTTCTGACAATATTACGAAAATAAATCTAAGAGTGTTTTATAACTGGAAATGTAATGCCTATCTTTCCTTGTAATAGAAGAATGTAATGTTGTCATCTGTAACTGGGTTTTCTTCTAATCTTTTGGAAATAAGATACAACTGTAATTCTTAACTTATTGATAGTCAAATAAATAATTATATCCTGTCCTATATTTTAAAACCTTAAACCTATAAAGGTATTTTATTCAGCATAGTGCTTAATAAATTCTCTGTACGATTATCTTTACAAAGTAATCGCAAATTAATTAATTAAATCTGGCATAACACAGGTAGAAAACAGGACCTCACCTGTGGTTTCCGAATTTACTAATACTCTTAAATGATAGTACTTCAGAGAATTAAATTCTCCACCCAATGTTTTTATCCACAGAGTCTGAATACATAAATTTCAGCACTTCTTGCAGAAAGAAACATCAATGTCCTTTTCTGTTGGCTTCTTTGCCTTCACGATATGTACAGTAAATGCATTTGATACTTAGAGAAGTATGAAGCAAATGGTTATATATTTTTTCATGTAGAAATAAAATATACTTTCACACTGATTATAGTTTATATACTTGCTGCATCACATTACCTCCACAGACTTATTTCCAATCTTTAAATCTGATTATATCCTGGTTATGCTCTCTCTCATTTAATTTAGTTATAGGAATCACTATACACTGGCATTTTATGTCATTCTTATTTCAGAATGACATCTCCTTTAATCACATTTCTCACTGTTTAAAAGATTTTTTAGAGATGAACAATAATCCTAAGATCATAATCATAATGTAGTTCTCTGCAAGCATTAGAAGGGCAATAAAGTCACTGAGAGTTTTATTCACCTTTCTACTCTTGTGAGGCAAGCACACAATCAAGAAATTCTTAAAAACCCCACTTGACATTTGCTCAATTAACTCATGAACAGGCTGAGCTCTCTGCATGGATTAAAGAAAATTAAAGAAGTTGAAACCTCCTTACTTACACAGCATTTTACCTGAACTGTTACTTACTAGTGATGTAGTGTCAAGCAGTACCTTAAATACTAATATCACCATTTTTTCTATTGTCTCTTTCCATAAAGATACTGTAAGTATCAGATGTAATTTTGCTTTTTTTTAAAGTCAAACACCCATTGCAATGTTCTAGCTATAGTCTGCTATCTACAGTATATGAAACTCAGGAATAAAAATATTTACAAAAGGCCCTTTTAAGCAGATAGATACATACTGTACAGGTGTCCCCTAATTCTTTATGACTGGACAGGCTTCTTGAAGGACTAGTTTGCTTCTGAAAACATATGGCCTCTTTTCCATATTCTGGATAATGTTCACATTAAATTGGCTCTTCTATAATACTGTACTTGCTTTAGATGTGAGGAAAACATTTGATCACTGGAACTACAGTATTTATGGAGTTTTGTAGAAATCTTTGGTTTCAGACATTCATTTATTATTATCAAGTCAAAGCTGTCATGTTTAATTAGACATATGTACAATAAATCTTGGAAAGCAATAATTCAGACAGGAAATTCAGACAAAGGTCCTCTTTGGTGCTTCTGAAATTATTCTGCTTTCACAGCACAGCACAGAAAATGTTTTACCCTAATGCAGAAATCTCTTCTTCATCTTGGAGTGTGGAGCTTTATGCTTTATCTAGCTAAGCTGAAAATCCTCCATGGTCGGCAGCCCACTACATGCAAAAGTCCACTTTTCTGCAGTGAGTGTCAGCAATATCATCTCAGTCTATACTGGAAGGGGAACCTGACAAGGCTGATATCACAACCATGATTATTTGTTCTTTCATTAGAACCTCTAACCAAAGGTGTTCAATGAAATAACAGTGTGTATGTGCCACTGGTATACATGGATCCAAATATATTTCAATCTATATTGTTGACATTTTCCTGGTTCTCTGGTATTTTTAGTTCGGTTCTTCAGCCTTAAATCTATTCGAAAACTCTTCATATAAAAGAAAATTTTAAAAAACAAATATGTCTTTGAACCTCCTTGCTGCAGCAACTTCACTTCTAGTCTCCATTGTTATTAATTTACAGTTTTTAGGTTTTGTTTATGTGTATACTGTACCAATATCTCCTCTAATGCTCACAATAGTAATGCTTCAGTTTGTGTATAAAAGAAGGTCTAGTCTATTTTCTACAAGGGACCTCAAGCTTGATCAAAGCCCTGCAGTATGGCATAATACTGTACCTTTTCCACGTTTGAAAATCTCACACACAATCTCACACACAAATCTATTTTAAAATTGCACATGGATTGTAACATGGATTGTAACCATTACTATCCTGATCATTTGAGATGAAGACTGTTCCCATGCCTCTTTGTCAGAAATGCACTGTGTTTTTAGTTGTGATTGGTGTACTTCTGATACTTAAAAAAATAATATTTCAGAATTGTCAAAAAATTATTGGTGCAGGCTTTACTGACTGAAAAATAGGTGTTTATAAAGAGTGTTATATTCAGGAATAAAGCTTTAATTTATTCTTTACTATACTGACAGTGTTTAGTGGCAGAGTGTATGATATAAGTACTAAGAATCCTTCTACTCTTAAAGACATAAGGTTAATAAGTGGTTTCTGCCACGTTTAGGGTGAAAAACTAATGGCATTACCGATAGAGTCTCCATTAACACATATTGTAGCTTGTGATACAATCTTAAATATGAATAGAGTACGGTATATACAGTACACTATATGGCTTAACATCAGCTGAGCAAACAAAGGAATTCACAACTGTCAGCAGTCTGACAGCTTGAGGTGAAATATAATGTATACCTTATATGTATAATAAATATGTAGAGAAGCAGTATGCTGCTGTAAACATTTTATTAAGTTACAGTATTATAAAACTTTACACAAATGCACCAAACAATGTTCTACATGCACAACATTAGTATACAAGACAAACCCATTACTTTTCAATATGAAATCACCATATTTTTGGATCAGCTATCTCACAGAGATAGGGAAAACATTGAATTAATACAGCAGTATTAACAATTAAAGGCCAAGTGTTGAAAACGTATTACGTATGTTTGCCTTTCTGACACATAATATTCTTTCTATTTATCCAATAAGATAACTGTTTCTCTTTTGTGGAAATACCATATTTTAAACTGGCGGACTCTGTCTTTTGATTGTTCAGGTGTTCTGTGTTTCATACATGGGTGACTTAGTCAACACTGAGAACTATGGGTTAATTCATTTTTCTTTATACAACTCTCATTTTCCCACTCTTATCACATATACAGTAACTGTACAAGAAATTAGTTTTGCAGATGTCTATCCCAAATAATATACGATATGTCTTATGTTTGTGCTCATTACTTACTGTAAGATAATATCCTGACTTATTATATCCTTTTACCACTTCTAGAAGACCACTATGGTTTTTTTTTACAAACTTTTGGGATATCAATCATAAAACACTTTTCACAAAAAGAATACTGAAATATTTGCTTACAAATGTGTAATCAATGGATGGAAAGGAAGTGTTATATACAGTGACTGATGGCTTTGAATTTTCACTGTGTACAGAATGCTTTCCTCAAATGCAGAAAATAAGATTAGAAGTGGGTGAATCTTTTTGGAATGTACACATGCTGTTGTTTTATCTGCTAATTTTAGATTTTTTGTTCCTATTTTTGTGCCAACACTTGACCTTTAAGGTAACTTAGAAAGGAAATTTGCTTTTTGTATATACTGTATTACTTCTTTTCAAATTTCCATTCTATTGGTAGATTTAATATTTAATGATTGAATAGCAATATTGTATTGTCAATGACAAAAGACAGTAGAAACAGATTCATCGTGATTTAATCTTATTAGTAAAACCATTTTGTGTTGTTGCTGATGTTTTTAATCATGAGGATGCTAAGGGAAACTGTTATAATGATCTAATTACACAGCTTCTCATCTTTAATGAGGAAATGCAGTGCTACTTAATACACATATGTATGTTTTAGAGATTACAAGCTTGATTTTTTATTAGTTCATCTCTTTTTCATCAGATAAAGGACTGATTACATTTAAGACCCAGCATGATTTATGATTTGTGATGTGTAGAATAAAAACAGGTGAGAGTGAGACAGATAGAGACAGATAGGCAGTCAAACAAATGCCCACAACAAGTACACTGGCATCAGTCAATCTACTGTCTAAATTGTGACAGCTGCAATAATAAGAGAGAAAATCAATATCCCATTGACTTCACTGCAGCAGAATCTAATCAAAGAACACAGGCCTTTATGAAATCACACAATGAGTGGATAGGACAACCTAATGGTAACTGCTAAGGACTTTAATCAGACTCATAGGCCTGAACACCTGTTCCAGTGGATGAACAGCAGCTGAACAGGGGTGCTGTGTCACCTTGGTTCATTCCCTTGTGATTTCTTTCAACTCTGAAATCAAGTGCAATGTATGTGCACAAAGTGTATCATCCATGGGAATGTGAGACTTAACCTTTATCAGGTATAACAGTACTTGTTAAATAAAGGCACAACCCTACAGCAGTTCAATGAAAAAATGATATTTTCATTTTTTTTTACATTTTCAGGTTATCCAATCCCAATTCAGATGGATGTGATCTACAGAAGACCACAAGCTTTTTCTCAGCAAGATACAGGTTTAGAATTTGCACTGATAGTTCCCATTACAGTTCTCACTACATGTATCATGCTTGGATATAACAACAGCCATAATTCCACTGGACCTGAAAACTTCCAGCATGCTATAATTAATTCAGATGTCTTAATAATTCCTTAATTATGCCAAAACAGCAGACCTTATACTGCATATGGGGACATGTTGACTGTAGTTTCGATGATATTATAATCAGTCATGTGTCATTGTATAGCTTCCCTTTTTTCCTTGTATTTATAATTTAATTCATATTTTTACATAATATACTTACTATAGTACTGTATGCATTATCTTCCATCTGATGTTTGTGTGCTTCATCTGTTTTCTTTCTTAAAAGTAGCTTTCATTTGTCCCATGTTCATTCTTTCTAGAAATTTAGATGAATAAAGATCTGAAAACTTCTTATACAGTAGATCATGGTCCCATTTTCTGATGAAGGCTCTAACTTTACTAATACAATGGGCAAGGCTTATTTTACAATGGTATAGAATGCCACTGAAAAATGGAAACACCCAAGAATATTTTAAACAATGCTGAACAAATACAAACATCTTAAACCTGTATGTTAATGATGATTATAACATTTCTAGAACTTTTAATTTTGCTTTTCACTGCATTATCTTCAAAGGTGTCCTTTTGAAGAAATCCAATCTAATAAGCATTGTCCCTCCCCAAACGACAGCCAGATAACACATTAACATACAGTAGCCAACTGTCAAACTGAAGTAGACAATTCTTAATATCAACGCAGCTTTAAAATATGAATTATTAAAAGAATAACTGCAGGCCAGCAGTTTGCTATAAGTGCCATTAGAGCAGATCCAGTGTGGGGAAAGTGGTGTTTTAAAGCACTACTTCGCTGTAAGTGAAGAATTTCCATTCTGTTTCGGGGGGTCTGCTAGATAGTCTCTGAAGAACCTTAGGGCTCACTGGATTCCTGGTTGAAAATACCCTCAGTAATGTAATTCCTAAAAATCACCACAATCTGACACCACTGAAATGTGTGTGGAATCCTTAAATGAGAGAAATATTGATACATTTTATGTCGTAAAACATTACAAAGTGTTCATTTGCATAAAGGTTTCAAATTCATTTCCTGGAGGGCAAAGTGTCTTCTGGTTTTGTTCCATCCTGAGTTGTCAATTACTGTAGATTCTTTAGCCTAATTATTAAGATATTTAGTCATATAGGATTGTTCTTAGGGTTTCTTACTGTTGAAAAGACATTCAATTCACTACACCTCAGAGCCTGGTTAAATACTACAGTTATGCATTTAAATAATTAGACAACGTCACTTAGAGCTCAGCTGGAACTAAAATCAGAAGACACTAGGCCCTCCAGGAATTGAGTTTTAGACCCCTGATATACAACGGAAGAAAACAGTCAGCAGCCAGTGCTTATGAAGCATCAATGTCAATGTCAACTATAATTATTGTTGGGAAAACAGAAGGTTTATTTTCCTGAACTATGAAACAAACAATTTAATTGTACTGAAGTGAATCTTTAAGCTAAGATACAAACTTCTATTTAGATTCCGAGTGCTGATGTTCGGAACACCTAATGGGAATTCTGTTAACATTTCTACAGGCTGTTAATTCTAAATTGTTTCTTAGTCACTCAGTCGGAGTCTCACATTAGTTTTACATGGGTATTATCTTTTGGTAGGGTTGTGCAACAATTTTATCTGAAAAAGTGAGGCCTTTAAGAAACTTGTGCAAGAAGAGATTATAAATGTTTGTTATATATATATTTAGATATATAAAATTGTTGTACCTTAAGGCATGCTCACACCAATGTAAAGCATTTGCACTAGTTAGCCTAAAGGAGGAAATGAAAAAGAAGTTAATTTAATGCTTTTTTCTGAATTTGAGTTAAGATGTCTAATGACATTCTTTCCAGTGATACCTTCGTATGTAGTTCAAATCGAACAGAAACATTAGATCGATGGTTAGCACAAGCAAATGTCTGCTGAAAGTTCTTGATATCATTTTGGGAAATAGCAATATTTTGTACTCCTGAAACTAGAGTGAAGTTTTCACATAAATGTGGCCCATTTTACTGACACTATTCTAAAAGGAACAAAATTAAAATGCAGTTATTAATGACTAATGCAATAATAATTAGTTGTAGTTCAACTAATAACTAAAAATAATTAGTTTTTTATACATTCTGTTGAGGAGTAAGTTATTGATTACTTGCATTATGTGGACATTTCTAACCCTAAAAAATGGTGTTATCTCTGAATTTATGGAAAAAGCTTTGCGAATACAAGGGTGAATCTCTTTGTTTTGAAAATAAAAAACAGATACTATAGCACCTTCTGTAAATATATACAGTATGTCCACAAAAGAGCAACTAAACTGGAATAATCTGCTTCTGATATTCTATAATCCAGTTTCAGAAAAAGCTTTTGTTTGATGAATAGTACTGTTATTTTGCTTTCTTTAGGGCATGTATTGTATGGGTCAAAACCTAAAGGTAAATGGCAAGAAACTGAATAAAAATTAAACTTAATGAAACCATACTAAAAGCAACATAATTTTGATGAAATGAGGAAATTCCAAATACAGTTGCCTTATTTAACAACTATTTTACTAAATCATGAAATATTTCATTTTATCAGTTCTTTACATTATATGATCAAGATACACAAACACTAACGTTTGGAAATCCCATTCCAGACCGGTTTTCTTAATTAGGGATAATGATACACATTAATATGTTTAAATTGTCAAATTTCTGCCTTAAGACATTTAAATTGAGTCCATGCTGTCATGTACAAATGGCTTGAATTTGGATTTATTTTAAACCTACACAAAAATATTGTCAGTAGCACAATAATGATTTTGTGTGTATGTTAAACTACTTTGGTATGTAAATGGAATTAAGGCATTTATCATCTTGAAGGATAATCTAAGATCAAAATAAACTGGTATACCACCATTCCCTCATGGACCCATGTATATTTAACACAAGTATATTGAACTGAAATTTTCAAATGGTTTTAAAGGCAAGTATAACATAACTTGGTAATAGATTTGATAAGCAACATGCACTCTATCCCAGTTTCTCTGAGTGTATCACCATGTTATGTTATACTTGCTATCAAAGCTTTTCAAAAATGTTAAATACACAAAATAGCAATAAGAATTCATAATGGAGCTGCTCAAAGAACTAAAGGGTAATAAAAAGCTTCTGGTGCATTCAGAAAGGTACAATATACGATAGTCTAGGCATTTGAAAAACTGTGGGTATCTCACAATGTAGATCTGAATGTAGAAAACAGTACTATGAGGACCACCGAAAGGGTGAAGGCATTGAAAGTTGAAGTACTGGAGCCTCTAGCACTCATACCTGTAAAGAAATAAGAACAGTAGGAGTTTGTGGCCAGGATTACAGTTTACCGTCACTGAAAGATGAGTTTTAACATGGGTATCACACGTTTACCATGATTTTACCATGTTTTGCACTGGTTTGTTTCACTGGTTGGATTATGGTGTTGTATAGTAAACATACTTTAGAAATGTATTATAGTAGTTTTACAAGGAAACTACTGGAAACAAATTGACAAACAATGGCAAAGCCATGTACAAATCCCAATGAAAACCTACCTATGTTTTCATAGGAGATAATAATATGACATTGTTTCATTTTATGTACAACAATGCTACAGTGCCATATGCAGTACAGTAGCATCATTTCTAGATTGGAATTTCTGAATTTCAGAAATTCCACATTTGGAATCTGTGCTCATAGTGTAATCCTTTGATGTCTGTACAAAACTTTCGTATAGTCATTTTAATACATGGACAGTTAAGAGAGATAAGAGATAAGATCACTTAAGATAAGATAAGATAAGATAAGATAAGTTATAGGACTAATAAGGTGATGAAGAAATCAAAACCATAGCTGTTTAAAAAAGTAAAATAAACAGAAATAGCTCACACTTACTTAGTTTATGAATCCTAATTTGTTCACTGCCAGCTCCCTCTCCTCCTTCACTTAAGGCTTTAACCTGTATTAGATAGTCATCGTGTGCAGCAAGGTTCAGATCCACAGTGGTCTTGTTAGTTGTGAGTATATTAACAATGTTGCTTTTGTATCTTCTGAATAATACCTGAGTATCAACAGAAAAATATACTATACAGTACATCCCTGTAAACAAATCCTTTTAGTTTTCCATCTATTTTATGCACTCAGGAATGCTGTTTTCAGTTTTATAATATCCTTTATAATGAATACAAAATTTGTCTCCATTTCTTCAAAAGCTATACACTCTGTTTTGAAAATCCAATGGGAAATGATTTGCAGTTCTTTAAGTAATCATTCCATTATTTCAAAACCTAATCTTGAAAGCATTGCAATTTAAATGAATCAAATACAGAACTTTTTGATTTTTTTTTTCAAGGGAAGGCTGAGGTTGACATTGTTCAGGATTTACCTGATTCAGTTTGCACTATCAGTTATGGTGAGGTTTTAAAGTAGGATTAAGAGACAATGGAAGATCTTTTTCATTAAAGGCAGTAGAATAAAGCATGTAATGTGCATAAAAAAAGGACTGTCTACTGTATATACTGTATACTTTCATAACAAAAGTGGATTGATTCACATCCATTGTTACATTGATTGCCTTAAATCTTCACCAACGTCTACAGTATGTCTAAATTATCTTCTCACACATCAGTACATCTGTTACTGTATCTCTTCTTTTAGTTTAGAAGTTTTTAAAACCTGCACTTTTGATGATTGCTTATACAGTACATGAACCACAGCCTTTGAACCCTTCAAACTGTCTGAATTGCCAACTAGAGGCATGTGCACCAACAGTTATGCATCTTATGAGATCACTTAAAATAGAGTCCCTAAGCATTATACCCTGCAGAAAAAGCCTGGTCTGCTACTGCTTTATAACTCTTTCATTTATTCCTCATCATTTCACATGAGGTAGGCCACCCTAGTCCTCGAGTGCCAGATTCCTGCTGGTTTTAGAGAAACATTTATACAAGCACCTGATTACAACCCCGAAGACACAGCTAGATGTTTCTTCTCATATATTTAATTGGTTAATTAAGTTAAATTAAGGTCTGAGATGACAAACAAACTCAGTAGTCCGGGACCAAAATTACATCTTCCTATTCTGGATAACACCCACTACTTTTGCAAGGATGAGTTATTCATATGCGATTATTATGGCAGGCGGACAGGTAAAAACCCAATTATTTGTTTCTTTTGTAAATTCATGTGACTACATCTGTAGAAAGTTTTTGCTTTCCGACCATGCTAATTCACAGGAGGCAATCATCTGAAATACATTTTGGAGAATAAGCCAAAAAACAGATCTCTAATATAAGTATATACCTGTTACTTACTTGATACCCTGTGACTTCAGACTCATTTTCCATTGCTGTCACAGGATCCCAACTTAAAGTTAGCTTTAAGCCAATCAGGTTCCACTCAATATTTGATGGAGGTTGACTTGGTGCTAAAAGGAAGTGAATTGGTTAATACAAATCACACGATAGATGTTTTATCTGTATCCTTACTTTAGAAGTAAATAGTTTTGGCATATAACCCTTTTCAGTGAACAATCTGAAAAAAAAACATATTTTAGCATTAGTTTGTCTTCTACAGAACATTATGCCTACAGTAGTTTTTCATTTTGCACAAGCAGTTATACAGTCAAACAAAACAGATGAAAGCTTGTCAGATAAACTGCTTTAGTTGTAAGTACAGTACTGTACGGAATATTTTAAAAGCACTCACGTGGTTTTTTGGTTGTGACGTTAAATGAAACAGAAGAAGGGCCTGTTCCAGCAGTATTAAATGCATTCACTGCTATGTTATATAAGCTGTTTCCTTTCAAACCAGTAATATTAACTGATGTCTGATTCCCATATACCCTTACTTTCCCTAAAGTATCAGGTTTTGAGTCATATTCCATGTACACAACCTGTGGAAAAAGAGACAAAGCCAGAGTTAAGTCAATTATCCTTGCTGTTTTACAACAATATTATAGTTGAATGAGCCACTTTTGATATAAAAAATCCTCATTTTGGAAAGAGCAATATTGTACTTACAGTGTAATACACAGTGTACACAGTTTCCCAATTGTATTGCTTGTCTGCTTGGTCTGATTTCACAAATTAAATATGAAGCACACAACTTGAAAGTGTCAATGTTCAATAGCTTTTTTAGAAAGAACAAGCCTGGAATGTCAATACCTAGGTTTTCATTTTAGCACAACTTACAGGATAAAAAATACAGTTTTTCTATTCCTTTTACCAAATCATCTTCAATTACATAATAGCACTAGTTCTGTAGTTTGGCATTACTGGTGCCATGGCAACACAAGGACTGCATACTTTGGGGCAAAGGTGATGGAAATAGAAAGAGCATTTGATGAAACTACAGTGCACTTTTCACATAGAAAAAAATAAAAATGATGAGAATGGTTTTATTGGCATCAATATGCTGTTGCAGAGGCCTCAGTAACTTTAGACCAAGGTATTCAATGGTTTTTTGACGAAGATGTCTCTAAGGGAACCTGTGATGTACTGTACGCTCTAGATCCCATTAGCCATCAAAAAGTATTTCACAAACTAATGCTCAAGAGGTGCCATTTTGGGTGTTCATTACAGTGAAAGAAAGACATAATACCTCATATCCAAGCACCCTTCCAGAGGTCATCTTTGAGGAAAGAGCCTGCCAGACAACTTCAATTTGTGAAGCAGAAACACTTTTTGCTGAAACTATCTCTGGTGCTGCACTGGGTTCTAAGAAAAATTGAAAAGACAAGCTGCACTGGAAGGCTTGCTCCTCACAACGCGACAGAGAAAAATAGTTATTTCATTAATACATGAATAAGTATACAATTGTTTCTCTTTAATTTTAATTGGAGCTGCAACTGACATGAAAGAATATTATCTGCAAGACAAATTAAATTAGCACAGTAAGCTACTCTCAGAAATTAGGTGCCACAAAGCATCTTTTAATGTATGCATTGGAGCAATAACTAATCTAAAGTTGGCACCCATAATTGTTTAATCTGTAAAATCAAATTAATTTCTGAAATAGCTCATTTTTCAGGTCCTGTCATATTAAAATGAAAACCGAAATGCACAATTGCTCAATTCTCCTGTGGCATCTGAGTGCCATTGATATAAATATCAGAGTTTTTCATGATTGTCTGCATCAGACAATGCGGATTCACAAGGCCAAACGACCAGTTGTGTATGGATGAATTTCTAATAATACATTTTTGCTCAATATTTCCTCAGAGATGTGTCATCTTTGTCTCAAGTCTTTATTTTTTTATTTTTTATTTTATTTTTTGTAGCAGGTTTATGAATGTGTAGATATGGCATTTGGTCATTGTCACTGTCTTAGACATGAAGCTATTTTATACTTACCTTCTTCAGCAGAATATACAGTTACTATAGGACTGAAAGGCCCTTCTCCTTTGTTATTGAATGCTCCAACCTTTACATCAAAAGGAGAAAATGGTGAAATGCTGTCATTTCGATAGACATATCGAGCTATTCCTGGTGTGGTTATGATCACTCGTGTCCACGTCACTGTGGAGGCGGGTCGAAATGCAACGATGTATCCAAAACCTTCACCGTTTTGTAGTTCCTCAGGGATGGGCTATGAGCAAAACACAAAACTATAGTGATATTAAAACAAATACAAAAAAGAAATGTTCTTACTTCTATACATTCATACAAATATATAGGAACCTGTTAGGGACATAACACCTGTTAGCACATCATACACTACATGCTGAATCTACACCTTATATACTATACAGTGAAAACAGTGATACAAGTAGATCACAGATAATAGAAAAGACACCTTATAACACCTTTAAACAGGTAGACATAGACTTCAACAGATGTATACATTATTTGCATTCTATTTAAAATCACATCTCCATTATAAAAAAGTGCCTCCTCACTTAAAATTTCTTCAGTTCTAGATTTCCTCTTTTTCCCACTTTTTCCCACTTTTGTGTATTGGAGTTAATAATATTCTAGAAAGGGAGTGTAACAAGGAGGCAGGAAAGGGAGTATGGATCCTGTGCTGGACGCAGGAGAGAGAACACTGAGAGTTCCAATCCAAATCACAAGGCTAAGACATACTGTAAACCAGGAAACAAGCAAAAAGGTCTGATAGCGGTTAGACAGCAGGAGAGTAACAATCCGATTCACAAGACTAAATTGTAAATGAGGAGACAAGCAATATGGTCTGATAATGATTAGATAGCAAGAACATATAACGCGCACTAGGGAGCTCATAGAGAATCCACAATAGTGAGCGGGTAAGTGAGAAAAAGGGGAACTAAAATAGTGATGGGAGTGAATGGTGATAGGTAAATTAGTTACGGCGTGAGCATTTGTTAAACACAGTGCTCGTGGTTAATGTGAGACAGGTCTGGGGCGTGTGCGGAATGCGTAACAGTAACCCCCCAGGGGCGGCTCCTGACGCCCTACTAGTCAAAAGTGGATGGGTATGAAAAAAGTCTTCAATGATGTTTAAGTCCAGGATATCAGCCTCTGAAACCCACAATTGTTCTTCTGTACTGTAACCGTCCCAGTCTATCAGGAATTGGCGGGAGCCTAAGATCTTATTCACCGTATAGGTGCCATCAATGAGTCGAGGGGAAGATGAACGTGGTTGACGTCCAGAAAATGGGGATTTGTGGTAAGCCATCCAACACTGGGTTAAAAAACTCTGAAGTTTCGCAGGATCTCCCTCAGATTTTTCCGGAGTGGGGAGGAGTAAAGGGCTAGTAGTGGCAAAAAGAGAATGTCTGGCATAGGTGCCACGGGTTAAGGTGGTGGATGGGTGGCGTGGTCCACTAATCGCTGAACTGCTGCAGTCAGTTGTCCAAGAGCCTGGGACTGCTGTTGAAAAAAGGCGAAGGGGTCATTCCGGTCCGCTGGATCCATGTTGAAGCTAGTTCCTGGGGCTCTAACCTGAGAGATGCTGTGGGAAGCATTTTCCATGTTTTTAAATTGTCCAGTTCTGGAATCAAGCGAATTTTCTATTTTGTACATTATCTTAATTAAGTATATTCTTGTCATGGCCTGACCTGAGGTACCCACGAGAGATGTAGCTCTTTCCCATATGAACAGCTTCCTCACGGGACTCCTACATGCTCGGGTCGTGTGCTGAGTCACACTTCTTTCTACCAAGCCAGCACCTCATCTAATTGGACCTGACTTCCTATTGAACACCTGAACTGCCATTGCGGAAGATGCAATGTCATTTAAGCTTCCAGTTACCGCTACACTTTGTTCTATCTTTGCATCTCTCTGTTCTTACAAACTAGCTCTACTTATAACCCTTCTCCTGATTCCTAATCAAGTTACCAGGACATGCCTGCTGGAAACTTCCCTGTGGCTAATCATCCTTCCTGCAAAACTAGTTTCCTTCCTTTTCTGGATCCAGCTCTGCCTCCTGACCTTCTGTATTTTCCCTCTACACCACTTTTGTTTTTACCTGTTCACTCAGCGATCTCTATCAGACTACAGAAATCACCAAGCATCTGTTGATGGATTGTGTGCCTTTCTTTTAGCCGCAGCTGTCAGCCAGAGCAAACTTCATCATAACAATTCTCTTTTCTCATCTTTTAGGCCTGCTAGATGATAACTCTAATCCTAACCTGTCACAGTAGCAGAAACAGATTTGACTGCATCTTCCTGCCCTTGGCCTTACGGGATCCTGGTCTATCCTGACATTATTTAGATGAAGCTCTAGACTTCCAGAATTCATGGTCACAGTGAAGAGAACTGGGGAGTGCTTGGAGTCAAGGCCTCTTTGCAAAAGACTTCTATTGTAGCAAAATCTATTCATTTGTAGGTCCATAAATGGAAACTCAAGAGGGTGTATGTGTGTGGGTGGGGAGGAAGGTAACACTGAGGATGATGGGGGATTTTGTGGTATGAGGAAACTCTTTTTCCTTTTTTTGTATTGTATTTTATTAATTGTTTTTTGAGTTGAAAAGATTAAAAATAAGATTATGTTAATAAAAAATGTCACAAGCGTTCACACATTACAGAATAGAAGAGCAGACAAATTATGTAGTGTACTTGGCAAGGTTCCAGTACAGTATGTAGACTAAGAGGCATTAAGAGTTTGAAGTATAATTTAATTGATTTTTACATCAATTAAAAAAGTATGATCAATAAATAAGTAAACTGATACTTTGGTTTATATTACAGGCCAATTCTCAATAAAAGCACTGGGAAAGCAAACAAAACCATCTTCCATTTTTGTTGCTTCTTATATTTGACAGCTAAGACAATCTAAATGAAATGCTTTCTAATCCTGAGCTAAATTGCACATCCACGAAGTGCAAACTACTGAATTTGGCGGGGGCAATACAAAACCTTCACACAATTGTGAGCTATTAAACAAATGTCATTCATTACCTATCATTGGAGTGAAATAAAGCGGTGATAGATCACTTACCTCCCATGTTATTACTAATTCTGTCTTAATGCCACCACCTCCGCTTACATCAGTAGGAGCTGTGTCAGGAACTGTAAGAAAAAAAGAGATAAGCATGTACAGTATACTTGTATTCTTTAATTGTCCAACAGGGGATTAACATATAACAGTATACTCTTTTATTTTCAGGATATACAGTATTAATTGCTTGTTAAAAACATCCCTATAATGTCAACCCTGAAGTAAAGTCAATAAACATTACTAAAGCTTTGCTGTCAGTTCAGCATTCTGCATAGAATGCACCTTAAAGACCATGAAGGTAATAACGTTCAATATTTGGAAAACTTTCAAATCCAGTAAAAGAAGTTACTTAGCTTTTCAAAATGGATGTTTTGACTTTCATATTTGGCACATCATTTGTAGTCATGTAGCTTTTGAAATCAAATCTGATTTGTTGTCATGCTTTAAATAACTTCCTTTGACATGGATGAACAAAAAAGATTTTCACCTGCATCTTCTGTTCGAGTTTTGATTGATGGTGGACTAGGTTCCCCAACTCCAACACTGTTACTTGCCACTACACGAAATTCATACTCCACCCATGCATTTAGATCCACTACTGTGGCTGTTAATGTATTGCCATCAATAACCTCAGGAACTAAGGGAAAGAAATGAAGTTAGGGATGTTTAAAGAACTAAATTACTATCGCTGCAGCATCATTGTTTGTGCTGGACCAAAGAACATGTATTTCATAGAAATAAAATCACTTTTTAGCAGGATGACTACGATAGCTCTAGATTAAAATTCTGATTCTTAGTCCTACAAAGCATTCATAATCAGCTCCTGGGCTTGCTAGTAGGTTAGTGGACACATGTTTGTGAACACGAGGCTGGAATGTAGACAGGCTATTGACACACCAAAGTAAAAGGAATGGGCTCGTTATATTTTAATGCCAGCCAGCTTTCCTGCAGGCTTGAACCCATACTGTATTTTAGCACTTAAGTGAAGCATTTTTTTTTATTGTGCTTCACTGACTTTCCTCTTTAAAAACATAAAATCACTATGCTTAATTCCATCATTCCTCAATGTTTGTCAACAGTGACCATCGTGTTAAATCCATTTATACTGTATGAACAATTCAGTCAGGGAAACCAATGTGTTTAAATATGTGGTCAGAATCACAAGCCAGACAGAAATATCTGAGAAGATTCACCTGAACACTAAAAACATTATTCTACCCCAGTATGTTGGCTAAGTATGCAATTTTTTTCTAACCCAGTATGTTAGCTAAGTACATCATTTAATTCCAATTTATAAACAAGTGGTCTTAACATTTTCTGGGTAGAACATGAGTGTCTCCCATCTTATTACTGCTGCATATCAAAACTCTTGAATTGCTGGTAAAAGACTCAATATATTTTGTGCAAAAGTGAGATAAAGGTTGTATAAATCACATAAATTGTTAGCATTCAGAGGTCTGTGAAATATAGTTACTTAAGTACAATTCAAAGTCAATTGGATGTACTCTATGCACCGTAGTCGACACAGACCTTTATTTAAGAGATTTGATATTATGTTTTCAAGGCATACTAAGCCCCCATTGAAACTACTGAAACTATTGAACATGAGAATTATATAGCTCTGAGTTTGTACTCATAAGCATGTCTGAAATTAATTTAAGAATTGTTGTTTAAAGTTCTATGTGTAAAATGGTACTTACTAATATTTTATAAATGTATATACAATACCTTGTAAGTAAATACTTCGTAACCTTTCTTAAGAGTGGGATATAGGTTCTGATTCATATGATGAAGCATTTACCTGTATCAATTGCCTGCCATCCCACAGTGAATGGTGTTCTCCCCTGTATGATATAGCCGGTAATAGGACTTCCATTGTCTCTCCCTGGCCTCCAGGATAGCTGAGCTGTGCTGTCTGTGATCTCTTCCACTGTTACAGCTTCTGGAGGGCCTGGGGGACCTGACTCAATCAAAACAATATCCAAAGTTAGTTTTAAAATGATATCACCACATACCCTTTTGTTCTTCAGTGTGTCACAGAAGATATGAGAAAACATAAATTTTCTAAAATTAAGTATTTGCAGCAATTCTTTTACTATGAAAACACTAGGCAAGTAAAATTTCAGATTCAATATGCAAGACTGTACACTGTACAGTATGTGCATCTGTCTTTTTTACTTACAATGTCACATCACCACTATCAATCATAATACACTCCTTTAATATGTCTGAAATGAATTCAGAGGATTTTAAAAACAAGAGCAAGATTATTCCAATAAAAGCATAACAGTGCCCTAAAGTTAACCGATCAAACAACAGGGCAAGAGATGAGATACGCAGAGACATGTTTAAATCTAACCCACAATTTTCCTAGCCCACACAGGGGCACCCTTATTTATACCATTCTGGTGTAACTTGACATGGGACCTTATTTCAGGCAGGTGTCAGCAAACCAGCTCCTGCCAAGCACCATCCAATATTTCATTTGTATTAGTAACCCCTCTCATCTATACAGTCAGGACATTATGGCCAAAAAGTCAGCCCTGCAGTAGCTGACTGTTCTGTACATAGCTTACAAACTGTATATTAAGCAATGACACGCACAGGGATGTGCCTTTGATAATTAAGTAACAAAAGCAATTGGGTACATACTCTCTGTACTCCAAAATAATTTATTAATGCTTATTAATGTTTTAGCATACAGTACATACTGTAAACCTTCCATTGGACCTGCTGCTTTTGTATGAAAATAATCCATTTTAAGCTAGTTTGGACGAAATGTGGTACATGCAAACAGGACAGGTTGCCTCTCAAGAGCAGGATCGTTTTAAACAAGCCGACATTAGAAAACATTGGCACTGTGATCCAATCATATTTCGTGTGTGCTTAATATGCACGCACTGCAACATGTATTTATAGGACAGTTTTTGTATAATCACAGAAGACTAGCTTTGGCAATTATAGTCCACAGCTGGATAAAGCTGATTGGTCACATGAAATGGCAGCCAAATAAAAGGTTTAATCTGTCCTTCTGGTCAAATAGAATAAATCCTATGTGTTATACTAAAATGGTCCTTACTCTTGACTTCTAACCTTTTCTAAAGGTCACATGCAAAATCTATTTCCTTAAATTGTATAGAATCGGTCATGTTTATTATGGAATGCATATACAGTAATTGTTAGTTGCTGCTATTGTATATTTTCCACTATAGTATGTCACATTCAGTCTTTAAACATGAACCCTGATAGTTCAAAAAACACCCATTCATTTTCTAATTGCTGTATCCAATATATGATTGTGGGGGAGCCAGAGCCTATTCCGACAAGCAATGGGCGCAAGACATTATACACCCTGGACAGAATACCAGTACTTCACATTACACACAGTGGCGCAAACACTCACACCAGGACCAAATTTCCCACAAGCCAATTCACCTACCAATATGTCTTTCAATTGTAGGAAGACACAGGAGCACCTGGAGGAAACCCACGCAAAGACAGGGAGAACATCAAAACTGCATGCAGACAGAACTTCAGGAACTGAACCCAGGACCCCAGCACTGCTAGGCAGCAATGCTGATCACTGTGCCATTGTGCTGCCCTTAAATAAAAACCATCAAAAATATGTTTGGTTTTTTTTTTAATAAAGCAAGTCCTCAAACTAAAAGAGAATTAGCTTAATATAACCAGATTTGAGTCAAACCCCTACACTCAAAAATGTGTGAGATCACTTGCCTGCTGTTGGCAGAGACAGTTAGAAGTCATTTTTTTTTCTTCAATATACCTAAAATGTAGTGAGTGAGTACTGTAGCGGTGGTGCATAATATTTGTTATCCCTGCCAAATATCAAGATAATGTCTACCTGACTTCCCATGTCTATACAAGAATGGGTTTTTTAATTGGTTTCCTTGCAAAAAATAAAAATAAATGCACAAAAAAGTCACTGGCCAGGTGGCAGTTCTAATTAGGGTGCTTATGAGATTTCAAGAACACTGGTTTAAAAAATGTGACTTTTTCAGTTACATTATCTGTCCCCTAATTACCCATGTATCAGATCTGCAATTCTTCTGAGCTGTTCACTTTTTCTCTTGATCAGGCAGAAGGAGCCTCAGAAATACAGGCATTACATTAAACCAGCTACATATTTTTGATGCATGGTCAACAGCAAAAAAATATGTCATTTGTTATTATTTCATGAACCAATACATGTTATGCTCTGTGCAGTAAGCAACAAAATTCAAGTTCACTAAGGTATAGCTACAGTATAAGTGCACTTTGTTAAATTATTTAGGTTTAAAAGTTGCTTTTTAAAAGGTGCATGATAACATTTTTTAACTCAATTGCAAAGTTCTAGATAATGTTATGTTAGAAAATCAAAGATATTTTAACTATAAAACGTGCTAGCAGTATTTAATTTATGTGATAGAAGACTGTATTCTGGAGCTGTCCATTTATACTGTATATAAATGTCTAACAAAAAAAACATTGACTAATTTGGTGGTTGTTTGATAAAAAACATATTTCTTTACTATTTGAGCTTTAAATTGCAATTGTTTGATAACTTTTACCGGTGGCTTCTACAGTAGTTTCGCATATGTCTCCTTGCTATTGCTCTTTCTTGTCACTTAGAGATGTATGATAACACTATAGGCTTACTGTATATAGACACCTGGAGTACCTGTCGCAAATCATATTGCATGAACCTTAATGTATTTAAAACAATATTGCTACAATCTCAATAATCTGTTTATCATGAAATAGTGTGGTCATAACTGTTTCTATTATGACTACAGTCCCCATCCCATCTTTCCCTGGAGAGGTGTGTCTCCTACACTGTCCCCATGTATCATTCCAGCAGTATTAGCCTGCTTTCCGCGGCAACGGTAAAAGGAGGACAAGCCACTGCAGCGCAGTTTCAATTGCCTGTCTCTTTTTTGTTTTCTGTGGTGAACAGAGAAGAGAACAAGGGGCTTCAATTCAGGTATTCAAAATCATCATAGACAAAGTTGATCCAAAGAACGTCTTCAGAATCAACTGTGAGCACAAATCAGAGAAGAGATATAGAAACTTTGAAAATGTGCATTTAAAACAGAAAAGGAGACATTTCTTTATACCATGGGTTGTGGGAATCTCCATCAGGCTGCCCAACTATTTTCCTGATTTAAGCGATATGCTGGCATCATCAGGGAAGTGGGTAGATGAAATGAATGGGTCAATTACCTACTGAAAATAAAATTAAATAAGCAAAATGGGCCAGATAGTCTCCCCTCATTTATAACCTCTTGTAATTTCTATTTTTTAATTGTTCTTATGTTTTTATTACTTTTTGTAGGTTATGGGCTTCCCCTTCTAGCTAAGCTACTGTACATTCCTCAATTTCTTGGTCTTCTGTCAGAGGAAGTAACATTTCTGGAAGTCCTACTGCCTTTAGTCAGACAAACATGGGATACATGTTCTTCAATGCCTCATCAAAATTTGCTGGTAGGCCACCAAGGTAGACAGCATAAACTAAGACAGTTAGAGAGGCCAAGGCCCAAAAGAAGCTTGGGGCACAACACAATAACAAAATGGCTTGAAATTGTGCAGTTCCCTCCCCTGTGAGCAACCATTCTTCGGGCCACTTCTATCATTTGTTTTATCTACCAATACCTATTTCTTAGATTGAGGAGAAATAAACCACTGTAAACCAGAGATGTAGCCCAGCACCTCATTGATCTCAAGGAATAAATATAAATCATTACAGGTGAAGTTTTTTTTAACTCAAGTCCACACAGAAACTAAAAGTCCATTCCTGAGCTAAATAACCAGAGCCTCTCTTAAAACTCAGTCATCCATTTGCCACTTGTTTACTGAGAAGTGTTAATTTGATGCTGTACTAGATTGGCACAGGTAAAGTCCTTATCAAGAGTATTAAAATGTGCTGAAACTCTCACAGTCTTTCAGCTGTGTTTTCTCTGGCACCAACAGCCCCTCCCAACACTGCTGCCACAAATCCTCTATAGCCATTTCTTACTGCTTCTACAGTATTCCAAACCCCTGACTGGTATTAACATATAGTTTCCCTTAGAAGGCCAATGCCTCCTGCATCCTTTTTGCTCTGCAGTGCTCTGAGTGGAAGCAGTCCTCAGTCCCAGCTGACAAGCAGGGTCGTCTGCTTCACTGGAGGCAACATCTTTCATGCAGCAGCACTCTCACAGAGCTGCTGGCGGAGCAGGTCAAGACAGAGGCCTTGTTGTGGGCCTGGAGAACACCTTCTTCCTGTGCTGCTCATGGGAGGGTGACAGACTGCTATTGTCACTTTTTTTTCCAGAGGGATTTTTGTCCCTTTCTAAACTATGCTACTGCTCAATGGCCATAGCCAGGAGATCAGCATAGTACTTCAACTGTTAATGCTTAAAGCACATTTTTTTATTGCTCAAAAAAAGTTTTTGAGGGTCTATCTTGACACATCAAGAACAGCGCTGTTAGTGGCAATGGTATCTCTGACATAACCATCGACCTGTATCTCTATTCAGCTGTCTGTCTTCCTCTGCTATCTGAAAAAAGAACGATTTACTTTTCTTCCAAACAAAGTTCTTCTGATGGCCCTGGAAATATACTGTAGATTTAGGACTGGCCTTGTCTCCCATCTTGTTGGAAAAATGCAAGCTCCTAAGTACAAATTGGCTCCTGGAGATCCAGGCCTAGGAAAGCGTGGGTCCTCCACATGTGCCAATCAGAACTCATGATTGATGGCATGTGTCCCAGCCTGGGCCTCCAACACTTGCAGTTGTATCATGGACTGTATTGTCCTGTCACTTCTGTCTCTTCCCAGCATCTTCAGCCCTTTAAACTGCAAACTGAGTTTCCAGATTGAAAAATGATGATGGTGGAGACAGTGTTAATGAAATTAACAGCTGTGTTGCAACAATGCTTATGTGCAGGCCATTCCACTCAGCAGGACCATCCAGTAACACTGTTATTTCCTCATTTGATCAATCTGCTCCTTGCTGCTGCTTTGTAGGCAGGAGACAATGCTCTTGCCATCAGGTAGCTTTCCTTCTTGTAATCCTGCTCCTGCTCTGTGGCTGATCTTGCCCAATCTGCTGCACCAGGGCAACATGATAGCTCATGCATCTTGCTTGCTACAATTACCGTCCAAAGGTTGCTGTGTTTGGTCAGGCATGGCATGTCTTCTACAATTGTCCACAGCTGCCAGGTCTTCAGCCTCCCACAATCAGTCAACCACTGAGATAGGGTTGAAATATGGTGCTAATAATATTATAGTACTTATAACTGAAGTTCTTTTCCCACCTGTTCAGAGTTCCACACAATGTTTTATTAAAACATGAATACCATTTAGATCCTGAGCTTCAGTCTAGAGACTGCCTTCAGGTTCACCACTAATCTTATGTTAGGCAATAGTAGCTATAATTTATCAATTTAATCTTCTGTATGCATGTCCTTGCTTAATTTTCAAGAAGCTCATAAATGCACACATCTATGTATTCATTTACAGAACATACATTATACATTATTATTAATTTACCTGTTACAATATTTTGCAGATTCACTGATTCACAAATAAACATATTTTACTCATACAGTATACCATATGACAGATACAAATTTTATAAGGCAATGTCTTATGTAAGTGATTAATGACAATGCACTTTGTTGTTTCCAATGTCTTTATTTTTTTTCTTCCTGCACCAGGAGCCTTCTAGGAGTGTTCCAGCTGTGTGAATCCTCTGTTAATGCTATAATTAAGAATCCTTTAATGCAGTGTTTCTCAGTCCTAGTCCTGAAGTACCCCTGAGCCTTCTGGTTTTTGTTCCAGTTGAGTACTTGATTAATTAAGGTTATTGAACACTGAATTGAACCAACTGTTTGGTTTTCGTCTATTTTCTGCAGTTATGTCTTTGTTATAACAGTAATTATTTTTTTGCAAATTAATTTCAGGAAATATTAAAAAGAAATTCTATTTCAAACATGTAAGTTGTTGCTTTCCTATAATTTCTAAAAACTAATAATGATTTTGTTAATTCATTATACATTAATTATGTTCAGGAGGTAGTGCCACTGAGCCAAACATTCACATCATAAGCATTCTTAGTGATGTACCATTGTCTAAATTCCAACATCAAGTAATCAACAATGAAAAGGTTTGTGAACACAGCTTCTGAGACAGGGTTATTGCTAAATCCCAACCTTTTTTTATTATGCATGGTCTAAAAGGGCTGATTTATAGAAGCAAATAGTTCAATTAAAAGTTCAATAAGCTAAATTAATCAAAAGCTGAGGCAGAAGAAAAAAATGAAGCACACAGGTACTTCAGGACCAGAACTGGAAAACAATTGTTTAATATAATTCACAGTATGATTCAGCTCAACTCCTGGGATTCCAAATGTATTCTAAATGCATATTAAAACATCAGAGTAGCATATAGAGCACAATGAACAGAATAGAGCTGAATATGTCACTGTTGTGCTTTGGAGTGAGATAATTTATTTGCTTTTACAATGCATTCATGTATTGTCAGTTTGAAACTGAAATTATTAAAAGGCAGAAAAAACAACTGCATTTTTACTCTTCAGCTTTCAGTATGCTTTTCACAATAAAATGTGGATCTGCTAATAACTTTCAAAATGAATTGCCGAATTCATTGTTCCTCTCATTACTGAATATCTGGTTTTCTGTGGCCTCCTGATAAATTAAACTCTTTTATTTGATTTTAAACCAAGAAACTTTACAGTATAGTTTGATCTTTCTAATATCTACGTGCCTCTCAACAGTTTAAATACTAGCTTAGCACCTGCTGTATCTATTTAGCTTGACTAAGTTTAATTGAAAGGTATTCATCATTCTTAAACGTATTAGCTAGCTTTGATAAGCAGGTTTGATAAGGTTGTCTTGTTACCATGTACCTAATGAACACACAATCTGAATTGCAATTTCTGCATCAATTCATTATAATCATAAATTATAATTTGCTCCTATTGCTTAGAGTGAATTGATGAAATTGTAAAAAGAAAGTGTGGCACTTCTGTACATGATAGAATTCAAGGGAAAACCATGTTAAACCAAACAAGAAAACCTATGGAACTATGAAGTAATCATCAAGTTCCCAGTCAAAATTAAAATTAAAGCCAGAAAGAAATGCATCCCTGTTTTCTTCTTTAGTGATCATACAAATTATTTTGGATCCATTTAGGGCTCCACATAAACATCCATGTCAGTTATCTCATGATCAATAGGCAATGGGAAATGCACTTTTCTCCTCCCCTTCAATTTTAAATATTTAAACCTAACTCAGATTGATTTGGATAAACAGTAATGCAATATGCCTGCTTGACAGTTAAAAAAAATACTTTAAAGGCTTGAAGGCAAAACATTGGCACAACCCGCCAAGCTTTTACCTTCATCCCATCACCGTGAAGGATGTTATCTTTATATTTTCCAGTCTGTTTTTATCAGTATTTTTATATCAGTGAATCGGTTAATTTGAACTGTTATTTTATCTAGATTAACCATTCTGTTTGCCTGGATACTTTTGCAGTCCAGTCACTTACCTTTTACAATTAGTACGGCTGCAGATGACAAACTTTCTACATCTGTATTTACAAGACAGACATATTTTCCAGCATGATTCAATTGGATGTTTCGGATCATCAGATCTCCTGCTATACTCTGAAAGGCAAATTAACACATGTTCAAAAAGCTTATACAAAATTGATAACCATGAATATATATATATATGCCAAATTTGTACTTACATAAAATACAACAAAAAAGCAGAAAAATATAAATTAGATTTTGAACAGAATTACAACAGACTAATTTGCAGTATTGAAATATAATTAATGGTAAACTGCTGTTCCAGTGTTTAAATATTCATACTGTATGTTTTATACAGTATATTTTAACTTCAATTTTATGCAAAACAAAGATAGAGAACATTGGATGTAAAAAGTGGTCAATAATGGAAAAAAATTCACTGTGCATATTTTGAGCAAAATCAATGATAAAAAACACCCTAAAATATCTCTTAATATAGCTGTGGAAAATGCAAATTTGGTAAATTGGAACACTCCCAAAACGTTTAGTGATGCAACCTTCAGGGGAGGTGAATAAGATGAAGAAAGCTTTATAATCCTCAGATGCCTGGAAAACTAATATAAATGTCTGCTGTGCTCTGTAAAATGCCAGACTTAAACAAATATTCACATTGGCCCAGCCTGGAGGCTTTGCAAGTATTATATAGCCAAGAAGAAGGGTACAGTGTACAAGTACCAAGGAAAGAAAATACACAATATTTAATTGGAAGGATGATGCTAATTAAATCTTAATTATATAAGCAAGTAAGAAGAAAATGGTCAAACACACAGCGTAATAATATCTTACACACATCAGCTCCTGGACTGAATTTATAAATATGTTTTTCTCTTTGGAGACACTATTAAAGAATAAACCTGTGTAAATATTTTTTTTCTAATTTGCATTTCTAAAATACAAGTAAATTTAGTCAGGGATAAAGAATTTCCAGGAGAGGACAAAACGTTCTAGCTAAAAGGGCACCAAGGACAAATCATGAGAGTTCAAAAGAATTATGAATTATCTGTCAATGAAAAATATGTATCTTGTTTGCTTTCCCTATGAAAAGACACAATACTGTATGTACATTAAAAATGTAACTTAACATGAAGTTAAAGCCTTTTCCTATGTATACTGTATGCATCCCTACAGTAAGTACAGTACTTCACAATGCTGCCACAGCCAAGCCAACAATTTTATACTGAAGTGGAGCCAGCTCTTGGGAAATGCAAAATAATTATTCTATGGCATTATATCACACAGCAACGCATGCCAAGAATTGCCCAGAAGAAGAATGGGTCCAACAACGGTTTATCCAAGAAGTAATCAGGTTGGAAAGAATTTAGGCAGGCCAGATTTTATTAACCTATATGGGTTTGGGCCATGACCCTGGAGTTAGCAACCTTGCCTTTTCAAAAGAGCATCTGGGGATCTGTAATGTTGACTGTAAAGCAGTGATAAAGTAAAGCAATATTAATACTGCTTGAGGCTACCTTCTATTAGAAAGGGAAAAAATGGGCCTTCATGCCTCTCTTTCCATGTGACTGGCAGGAAGCAAATGGTAAATTAAAGGTTAATTCTTTTCCTTATATATAAGTGTTACGACCCCAAGTGTCTTGTGTATTTTCCAAATGACCTTACTCCACTACACAAAACAGCACAGTCATTTCAAAACCTTTTCGGTACTGTATCTTCAAACATATAATCAAATATTAAGTATAGATGCACTCAGATATTGATATGTTCTATTTTACCATTTATTGATAAATGCTGATGAAGGAAACTGCTATATCTGGAGCGTTGAATCTATGGGAGAATTGGTTTTAATTATATGTGCATATAAATATCATATTTGGTTGTTATGAATATATTAACGAAATGTATTTATGTTATGATTATTGTACAAGGTGTTCCATTTTGTTCCCATTTTGAATTTCAAATGATTAAGCAATGATAAAATATTTTACTTATTTTTCTTTTTTGATGTTCGAAATATTTTCAATTTTTCAGGACCTCCATCTTATTCAATAGACACTTTCAGAAGAAAAACTAGATTTTTAATTATCCTTTTCAGAAACATAATGTACTAATTAGTTCAGCTAACTTTAAAATATCATTCTTGATCTTCTCAATAAACTGTTGGTACAGTATGCCAATTTTCCTTATGTGCACCTCCTTAGTTTAGTACTGAACTTGCACACACATTTAGCCTGTATTGTAGTAACCTGGTATGATCTGCCGACTCTGGCATCTCTTGAATTAATAACATTTTCCATGAAGAGTAGACCAATCTAATTTATGAAGGCTTATAGATTTCTAATTAACAATGTAAGCATATGTCATGACTTTTCTCTATGTCAATGCTGTCTGAGTCATTTCCAAATTATTTTGGAGCACAAGATGTTTAGATAGTGCTGTTCTTTTAATATTAATATCCTGTTCTTTTGAAAAAAAAAAAGATACGCATCTTTCTCTCTGAATAATAGTCATTGGTATTAAAATTTCAGAGTGTTTCTAAATTGATTGATTGAAATAATGGTAAGATTATAATTTATATTTGCATTAAAAATAAGTGTGCATTCATTTTCATGAGTTACGTTGAGGTAGAAACAACATATAAAGAAATAAAATCCAATTATTAATTAAATTATGATATGCAATAAAAACATTTTACAGTACACTAATAAAGTGAACCATTGCTTTTAGAAAAAAGCAAAGTCACAACAAAGCCTTGTTATTATAAAACAAAATAAAATAAGAGGTGCTTTTAAAATTAACTGGTCTATTAAAATGCTGTTTTTTTATTTTCCGTTCAAAGCATGATCTTTAAGTGTTTATGTGCTTATCGGAATGTGCATGGTGGAGCAATGAAATTAATTAAACACTCAAATGAGACAATGAGGGAAGACAGGACATACAGTACCAGTGTGTGCTGCATAGCCTTGATGTGGCCACCATTTACAGTATGCTTACGATGGATGACACCCTCAGGTGGATCCCAGTAATGTTAATACAACATATTTTTTCTATTCCTCGTGCCTCATTTGTACGTGTATGAAACTGTTCTTAAAAGCATACCAACTTCATTTAATAATGGGGTTGTTAGAAAACACACAAAATGACTTCCTGGGCATGTACTGTATGTGTATTATGGTGTAACAATTAATTGACTTACCCCACCCACTTTTTCAAAATGATCTCCATCCTTGTCAAAATCTATGAGCTGCCCATTGAAAGACCAGGAAAATGATACATCCAATGCTGGATCGTAAGAAATCTGGCATGGTATAACAATGCTTTCCCCAACTATTATTTCCATGTTTGTTGGTCCTTGGATTATCCTTGTAGGGTCTTTGAAAACAACAACAAAAGTGTAAATAAGTTACTAACCAAGTCAGCAATATTTATGCTTCTAATCATAGTCATAGTCGTAGTCATAATCATACAATCATAGTATAAAAATAATAAATAAAGTATTAGTTTTTATACTGGAACAGTCTCAGCAAGTAAACAAATGATGTTTATAAGTATTACTTTATATTTTGTTTTGAAACTCTTAATGTTTTTTTTCTAAAATAACAACTACACCTAAGTAAATGGTGAGATATGTGTGTGGTAATTGGTTTACAGCTGTATTTGCCAGCTTATCTTAAGAACAGCCATGGATAAATTATATGAGAACATTAAATAATGCACTGGCAGTAATAAATGCTTTCGGAAATTGATGGCAGCAGAGTATAGGAATCCTTGGAGAGAAAGGTCAAGTTAATTAAAGCTACATTAGATTAAAAAGGTTTTCAGATGGTGATGTATAAGTTTTTGTGTGAAGTAGGAGAGTCCACTGTGGATATGCATGTCCATAAAACACCTACTTTTTAATTTGGTTTTTTATTACACTTTAACATTTTCAGCGGATGTGTATTTTCTAGAGCATTTGCTCTGTACTCTTATATAAATTGAGTAAATGTGAACTAATTACAGTTTTTAACCAGAACACATAAGTTGGACCTACAGCAATATGAACAGAAATACAAATCTCTCTCAATAAAATATAATAAGGCAGCATTTTTGTGTAGTAAACAAGTAACTATGGCAAGTACAGCACAGTTAATAAACAATTAAATGACACAACTGTATTAGTATCATTGATAGTGTGAAGCTGCATTACAGTACATCAAGATCTGTAAGAAAACATCCTATGGTATTCTTAAGGATTAGATACATTGTGTCCCTTGAGTAACAGAGCTTTTGGTACACATACTCTATGTAGGTTATAAAGTGTACAACATAAAACAGACTCGTTGTGAAACCTCACAAGTATTGATTTACATAACCAGTTACAAGAAAACAGGCCAAGCCATTAAAGCTACCAACATCAAATCATTGCAAACACTTTTCAGATCTAAAGATTTAAAGAAATAAATTGTTAAATGTACATATTGGAAAAGTGGTAGGAAACAACTGGCAAGCACCCAGAAGCAGTATAAAAAGAAATATCAGGAATAAGCTATGAATCATCAAGAATTCTTCATTGACATCTCGAATTGGAGAAATAAGCTGTACTACAGGCTTTAAATTACTCTACATATCTCTATTGTTTCGGAATACAAAAGTACAAAGTTCAAGTTCTTTCATAACAATTGAGTCACGGAGAAAAAAATACTAAAATGAATCTGATATGTCTAATAACTGGGCAACACAATTACTGTATGTTGAGCTCTACCAGAATTACAGATAATACCCAAACAGTGGGTCTGTCCACTCCCAGCAGTAATTACAGTAGCAACACTTTTCAGCATTGATTCTACTTGATGCTCAGTCAATAGCATCTGCACAGCATTGCCTGAGACAATTCAGTACTTATTGAGGCCCAGATTCTAACTAGGATAGGAAGGGACACTCTTATGAAGCATACAATGCACTTTTATTGTTGAAAGGCAATGTATACAGTATGTGGAAAAACCTAAGAACATGTGAAAAACGCAGCTACAGAAGAAATGTTAATACTGCATATTATGTTTTAATAGTTTCAGAGATAAGGCATACTACAGCTACTACTTCTTTCATGACACTGCAGAGTTATGCACTGTTTTGTAACGGTGCATGTACAATATACTGTATCTGCATATCTTGGAACAAACACATTTTCAGAATTATCCTGTTTACCTGTTATGAGTAATCTTCCTGTTGTGCTTGCAATTCCGAACTGATTTCTTGCCACACAGGTATAGCTTCCTCCATCAGCCTTTGTGACATTTACTATTTTAAGGGTTCCATCTTGAAGAAGAGTGACCCTACTGAAAATTAAATCTGATGTCATAAATTATTTTCAGCTTTGGGTCTAACAGTTAAAGTGAATATATTTAAAACAAATAAAGCTCATATTGTTAATATATTGTATGTATAACAGTTGTCATAAAAGATGACAATTTGAGTGTTAAAAACAACTGGGATTTAAGAATTTATTACGTTTAGTAACACATGGTTTAAAATTTAAAAAAAATCAAATACAGCACACAGATTCTGTGAACCCAGAGATCTTGAATATTCCACTGAATACTGGATTCCATGTAGAAATACCCTTTTTTCCCAATCTGATCAGTTAAGACACCTTTATTTCTTTTCTCAAAACCTAATTCAAAATTTAAAAGGTTCCCCTAGACTTCAAAACCTTAGAGACATCAAGGCACGCAATTTTGTCACTAGAAGTGAGCCAATGAGATAGTGTCACCCACTGCATGATGCACCTACATAATAACAAAGTTAAATGCCATAGATTAATGCAGTCTTTGATAAGCTGCCTCCAAAGAAAGCATGACACCAATCGATGAATAAGACTGATAATCATATCTGCAGTTGTCTTTTAAATCAGAGAAAACAGAATCATCCCTAGTTCTTATCAAGTAAAAGATGCAATTAAAATTAGCCTCCTGAATTTAAACCAAGGGCAAGTGAGAGCAGGTGCAATTCAGATGTTTTTGAGGCAGGGTTTGTATTGCCATATTGTTCTTATATTATTTTGCTGTAAATTTATTTAACCCAGCACTGCATTATACAAAATGCAAATACAGTACAATGAAAATTTGGAAACATTATTTTCGACTAAAAAACAAAAACAAAAAGAAAACTCAGGTTTTTAAACTGTATCCTTAACCTTCAATGAAAAATAAGTACATGATATATTTGTCACTTTTTAATCCTCTTCTTAAGTGAATGAAATTAAATTAAAAGCTAGAAAAAGATATTCTCAGATTCTTTATAATGTTTCTTCTGAAAAACCATAATATTATAATACAGTTTTTATACAGATCTATACATTCATGGTTCATGCTTAAAGCTATGGAAAATGTTAACTGTTCTTGAACATTCAATGTTAAGCATTAAGTTTATATTCAGTATACATTATAGTGCAATATTTTATCAGCTTACCATTGGAACACTTTATCTAGACTTACGTCTCTACAAAAATCCTTCTAACTTGACAGCCAAGGATTAGGGAAACAAAATGAACACATAAGATTTCAACTGTTAGAGAGCTTGAGCGAATTGGCCCCTTGGGGATTTTTTTTTTATAAATAAATACTATCCCCTAAGAAATCGGCAATTATTGTACATGCTTTGACAGTATTTGTCTGAAAACTAGAAAAAATGAAAACAAAATGAACAGAAAACTGTATTTTTGTGCTTGCTATGGATAAAAGCATGTTTAAACAATTTGCACAGGCTCTGAAGGGAGCATAAAATAACTTATATAACCTTAAGAGCACCTTTTATACAAAGAGAGGCTTGAATTTGACTAAAAAAATGCACATGGATTTTCTTAAATGTCCTTTTCAACTTCTATTTAATGGCAGCCACACTGAAATCCAAGACAGCACTAGGTGCATGTCCTTTCCCATTTTGTTTTCATTCAGCCCCACTAGCAATTATAGAACCAGGCCTTTCATATTTACAACATTATTATTCTTGTTACAGCCCCCATCTCCCACTTCTGACAAAAATGCAATTCTTAGTCTCTCAGTGTTGACAACAGGGATTCCACTATAAACCATTTGAATTGATCATCATTTATGCTTCTAAATGACAGAAGTTGAAAAACTGCTGAGGTCCCAATGGGTTTTCTGATTTAGTATGTTACAACCTATGGTATTTCAAATGTAGCTTTAGATCCAGCACTTAATGGCAGGATATATAATTCATGAAGATGATGGTTAACATTATTTTTCTCTCTCCCCTAAATCTGTCCATTTGTTTCCTCTCCCCCATTTTGAAGCAACAGGGTCAAGTTTTCCATAAATGCAGGCGAAACTGCACACTATTGATCATCAAAATTATAAATTACCTTTCATTTCTGTGAAGAATCTCATTCCCCTTCTTCCACAAGCTAATTGCTTTGGGAGAAGCTTGGGGCCTGCACTCTAAAATCACTTCACTGCCTGAGCGAGCTTTAAGCAAGGCCTTTAGTGGGTTCTTTGAAAAATCAGGAGCAGAAGCTGGAGAAAACAGAATGAAAACCAATAACAAATAAGCCAATCACAGCCATCACAGAATAACAAGGCCCCAGAATAACATTGTTTTCACTGAAGTATGCAATACAATTCATGGAAAATAAGGATCTGATTCAGAGTTCTGACATATCAGTGAATGGGTATACCACCTGAATATAACTAATTCATCATTTATCACTAACATTTTCTCTAATTCAACATTTTTTAAATTTGACTCTTATGCTACTCATCCACTTCAGAATTAATTCATACAAGTGCTACTGTATTTACTGTGAACCAATTTCTTTTTCATAACCAAGGGCTTCTACTTCAGGATTTATAGTTAGAAAGTAGTGTTTTTGCAAAGGGAATATCAAAAAAGCCAAAGTAACACTTAATACACTTTTTGTGATGGATTGTTAAACATTTTTTGGAAGAATGTGCAGCTCAAAGTGATGATTGTTCATCAAAATAAGATTGATTTAGATATTTTCTTGATGATTTTTTTAATTGTTCACAGCTATACTGCTGGATTTAAACATTAATTTATGTCTTTATTGCATATGTAAAACTAAGATGAGATTTTATGATTTTGAATATTTTGTTTTGAAAGTTCGAGAAAAATCACCAAATGGTGGCTAAAAAAGTACATTAGGACAAAATTGGCAGAGGGTCAGTGGAAAGAACAAATGGTGTTCTGTAAATTGATTTATGAAAAATAAGAGCCTATTGTATAATAATTAATTAAGATTAATACTTTCTATTTCCTGAAGGTTCAAAAAAACTTTGTACATTTAAATATACAAATATATATATATATGTATGTACTCCAAATGTTTATTATAGAAAACCTGTACTGGAACATTAAACCAAACTTTTTGGATTAGTTTTTATTTTTTCCACCTTAATTATCTAAAACATACTAATCCAAATATTAATGGTATTGTGGAATGCAATAACCTGTGAGAGATTAGCAAAGTTATGCTGACAGGTTGCCTGTTTTGGTCACCATATTGGAATATTGTGCAAATTGTAAATACTTTTCAAATCTATTATTCTCTTAAACTGAATATCTTAGAGATCAGACACTTTTTGGGCCATGTTATGCTATGTTGTGGTATAATCTAATTAATCACAAATTGATTGGTCTTGTGGTTTGGTCACCATCTTGGATTTGTGAAGAAACTTGAATGACTTCTCCTTTGAATCTGCCAAATGAAGCAGACCTTAAAGTAGATCCTGTTGTCTATGAAGCTGTCTATCAAGTTTGTTAATGAAAGGATATAAAAACAACGGTTGCCACGAGCCAATCAAATTGAAGGTTTGAGTAATTTGGCTCATGAAATGAGTAATAGGCTCATATAACATGAGGTAGTCCCAAATCCTATGTCCGTACAATGAATGTGGGAATGAAACTGACCAGACACATTGTGTGGCTTCCATATGCAATAATTCAATTCAATTCAGTTTCACAGCACAGACCTGAAACATGGTGAATAATGTTACCTCATGTTCAAGACTTCACACGTGGTCAGGACAAGGTGATAGACCAAATGGTTTGGGCTCCATGTTGGATTTGCAAAAACAAATTCAAGCAATATCTTCTCTAAAATGCCATTGTCAATTGTAATAAAATATGTAAAATAGGTAAAGATCTTCATCTAACTTGTTCAACACAATTTGCTGTATGTAGAAGCATGGCCACCACGAACCAATCAATCAGTTATGACACTGAGCGTAATAAATATATTAGGTGCAAATGGGCTGTGGTCATTGTAACACATGTAGGAAAACATATATAGTCAGAAAAAAAAGTCCTCATCTTTGACTTCTTGTATGTACTCCTGATAGAGTCTATAAACTGTACAGTATAGCCATAGTTACTCTGCAACACATAAAGCAACCTCTTTAAGTTCTGTCCCAAAACTATTTGAGTTGTATGACTGTAGGTCTTTAACAGCCTCAGAACTCCTTAGAAGGTGCAGATAGATTCAACAGAGATGAGGTAAAGAAAGTCTGGAGGAATAGGAGGAGCAGTGAAGATGAAAGGAGATGTAGGGATAGATAAGGTAGGAAGGAGTAGGGTGGTTGAGACTATGGTAGCCAAGAATCAGGGTTTTGCACCTGAATAATACAGAGCAAGTGCAGGGGCTGGATTGATGGAGCCTCTTGAGAGAAGTGAGAAAAAGAAAAGACAAGGCGAGCAGCACATTCTGCAAGAGTTAGAGTGGGTGGATTGCATTGACAGGGAGAACAGCCAAGAAGAAATCACAATAGTTTTGGTGGGAGATTACCAGGGGCTGGGCCAGACATTGCATAGACTAGTTGGCAAGGAGGGGGTGGATTCTGTGAATGATGCTCAGGAAGTGACAGGAGTGTGCCAGGGAAGAAATGTGTGCAGGAGAGGGAGGGGTCAAGAGTGACACTGGGGTTCTTTGCAGATGAGGAAGGGGATAGAGTAGTATTGGAATCATAAAAAAGAGATGGACCAAGTAGATGGTGAAGGGATACAATGAAGTTTAGTTTGATGTGATACTTTAAGATGGTAGTGCAGTCCACAAGGAGATGGTTGTGAGGCAGACATATGGGAGGAGACATGCGTATCAGTGGAAGGAAATTAAACTAAATTTGAGGATCACCAGTATAAAATGATAACCAACTGGAAGAGATTAGAGGACACAGATAGTGAGTGTAGAAAGCAAACAGCAGGGAACACAGGATAAAACTCCAGTGGAGGGAGAGTACAGAAAAGGGAACAAGCCTCACCAGCAGACCTGGTATGTACAATCAATGAGAGAAGAGAAATGGGTCATAATTCATGTCAGAAATTCCTTGGTCAGCAAGTGCTGACAGGAGAATGGCCAGATCTGCAGGGTCATTGGTAGCAGAGAGATCAAGAGAGATTAAGAAAGAGGAGAGGGAAGCAATACATATTGTGAAGAGAAGTAACATAAGAGAACAGTTTCAATCAAGTGTGTTAAGTGAAATACAGACTGCAGATCTGGCTTAACTGCAGTTTAAGAATCAAAAGGTACAGTAAGTTGGGAGCTGTCAGTGCAACACCCACTCTAGGGCTTTAGAAAGAAAGGGAAAGAGGGTAACAGGGTAATAGTTCTGAAGGGATGGTGGACCAAGAGTATGTTTTTTAAAGAAAGGTATAATGCAGGCCTGTTTAAACACAGAGGGAAAACATCCAAGAGTAGAGAGGTGTTACATGCAGACGTACAGAGAAAATACAGAGAAGGAGATTAGCGGAAGCAACATAGAAACAGTGAGTACGTCTAGAATACATGTGTTAGGTTAATTGGTCTAGAGCAAGGTCTGAGTCAGCAAGGGTATAAAGGAGAAGAGGGAGATAGGTAATAGAGGAAGTAGTAGGTTTGGGAATTATAGTCTTCATAGAATCTGTTCTATCTTGTTGTATATTTAAATTGCTTACATTCCTTGTAACAATGTTGTCTAAACGATCCTTCTGTATTTTTGGTACTATAGTTCTATTTGGTCATATATGTTTTTAAATCTTTGTGTGATCTTTGACCAAGAATAATTAGTGATAAAGTACAGTGTTGTTTTTTTTCCTTCTGCAAGCATGTATATAGGTTTCACATAAGATGAAAAGATAAACAGACATATTGTATTACAATAAAAATGAAAAGCAATCTTACCTGATACCATTAGTTCAGCACTAGAATATATAATACCATGTTTGTTTTCTGCAACACATTGATACATCCCAGAATCTGACATATTTAGGGATGCTATTGTAAGTGCTCCATTTTCAATTTGTATTCTATCCTGTTAATGAAAAACAGATTAGTTCTTGTGTGTAGTGCTGTATCAGGGTTTTACTTTTACACTCTGAATCACATTTGTATTAAAAATATCAGTTAAAACTCAATTTTCAATTGTGTTTTTTTTTACTGAAATTAAAGTGGGAGAACAAGGTAGGTAAGAGACATGCAGTGTTTAAATAGAGAAAGTCAAATCCTGAACTTGAGATGCAACACAGAATAATGTTCAGAGACAATCACTTGCATAACAATTAGAGAGAATTGTATTTATTTCACTACCAACTGGAGTTCAAAGTAAAGAACATCAGAGTAAGGAATTAATATTAAGCAAACACTTTTTTTTTTAAATCGGTAATACAAATTTTAGCCCCTTGCAAGCCTGTTACAGTCATGTTACTTCTCTGGATTCTGAAACGTCTGCTGTAAATACCATCTGGATCCACAGACCTTAACAGTCTTACAAAAAACAGTGCAGACATTATGGAGAATGGCAGAATTTTCTATTTGAAGTGATTTACCTCCACCAGTAATGTCTGTCCATTTTTCAACCAGCTGTAGGAAGGCCTTGGTTTTCCATTGGCCTTACAATCCCAAGACAGACTGTCCTCGATTGACATGGATGTATCTCTTATTGTTTGTATCCAGTGGGGCTTAGCTATAAATAAATAGAAAGTTTAAGAAGAAAGTAAGCATTTCATTCCATATTAAAGTGAGTGTTAAACTATTGTACATTTGTTGTGAGTGGTGATGGTTAAATGTGATTCTGAGATTAAAATTACTGTTTAAATATTTTAAATGTATGACCGTGTGCTTTTATTCAACTATCCTATGTTTCTCAATGCAAAAAAAGGACATGCAGATTTGAACAATCTGAAAATATAGTTATGCATGCTGTGAACACGTAAGAATCTGTTCAATGTATGGAAAATGCTTTTTGAAAACTAATTAAACTTTTGTAGACTGAATTCACACGCAGACATTTTGTGAATAGAAAAGTTAATTTCCCAAAATATTTAGTACAATTTGACATTCTGCAAACAATCATGTAACATTCCACATAGTACTGGCATCATAAAGTGACAGAATTATATTTAGTTCAAAAATGAAAAAAAAAGATGCAGAATAAATCCCATGCGTTCAGATCAAGGACACTGAAATAAATATTGAACAATATTTGTGGATGGGTTTATGAAACAAATCTCCAATGCTCTGACTGCTTATTTACTAAGATCTTCTTCAAGAAACCAGACCGATGGGATTCTTGGATCAATTTGCAACAAACAATAAGATAAAGAAAACAAACTGAATGTCTTTCTTACTTTAATTGTAGGTAGAACAAAAACAATTAAAAGGTAATTTAACCCACTGGTAGGTAATGGACTAAGTAGCACAGTAGTTATGATAAACCCTTTAAGAACTAAATTACATTTTTACCGGGGTTTTGGAAATTGATATTCAAAATTATTGTGGAAGATTACCTTTACAAATGAAACTGCATATTTTCTTATTTATTTTGTTTATACTGTATGTCACTGGCTCCAGTGTTAGCTTCAGACATTGTTATTTCACAATATATTTGTTTGATGCATGAAACAGTTGAACATTTTAAAAAGTTCAAAGTTAGGCTTATCTAGGACCCAGAGGCAAATAGCCTAGTTTTCCATGCAGGAATTAGCACAGAGATGCTTCACCAGCCTTTAATTATAATCAAAATCTGTTTTACAACTAAACACACAATAAATCACTACTGCCCCCCTTTTAACTTTCAGGGCAATAAAGCTTCATTTCAAAAGCTTTCACAGGAAATAATTTAGTGCTATTGTCACTTCTTAACATGCACAATGCTCTTCATGTTAACATCTTGTCAACGTTTATTTAATAAGCTTTATTTTTTGACCATTGTGGCTGTAGAAGGCACAAGAAAGGCTACAAATTCAGAGTGGATCTGGAGAGAAAAAAATAATTATTGTTGCAATGAAATAAAATATATTTGACACTCATTTGCTGGCCTATTCCCAAATTTTGTATCAATTACACTTTTTTTCACACAAAAAAAATATCAGTAATTATACTTTCCTATCTTTCTAACTGTGCAAGCTCATTTAAAACAAATATTATTGCATATTGCATCACTTTCAATCAGGTACAGTATGAACGATAAAACAAATTGCTATTCAGTATCAGAAACTAATACAGTATAAGGAACACGTAAATAAAGGTTTATTCCATGCTGAAAAGAGAACAAAAAAAACACAATGTTTCGGCTGTTGAGTCTTCTTTGGGTCTCACCATGGAATAAACCTTTACTTGTACAGTACAGTACGTACTTGAACTAATACAGTATAAGCCTTTTAATGGTCACAGCAACCCATATCCTATCCTAGACACATATGATGCAACACAGGTCTGGATAACCTGGATGGAGCACATTACCAGTAATTTCTGTGTAAACATATCCTAAATCCATAGAAATTAAAACTATTTTATCTTGTCTGTTTTTCAACCAGCTGTATGAAAGAGTTGCCTTTCCATTGGTCACACACAATGACTCCAATAACCTAGCCACTACATCTTTGGAACTAGGGCATCTGGAGAAAACCCACAAGCCCAACTCCACAACGTACTCCAGTTTAACACTGAACAAAATATTCATTGAGCTCTAAGGCAATAGCATTGACGGCCACACACCTGTGCATTCTGAAAACTAGCCTATGAAAACCAGCATTTTTTAATATGATGATCTGAACTTTTCTCCACACATGATCTCCATTCTTATTTCAGGGCAAAGCCAGAATTTTCAAAGAAAAGATCATTGTACTGCACATACCATGAAAAGAGAGACGCCCTTTTGCAGCATTTTTGCCTCTTGTATTCTCCACAATACATTCATAAGACCCTGCATCTTCTTGTTGAAAATTTGGAATCTCAAGGACTGCATTAGATTTCTTCATTTTGACTTTGCTTGGAAATGGAACTCCATTAGTCCTCCTCCAGGATATTTCAGGAACTGGGCTACAATTTGAAAAACAATACAAGATGGTTTTAAAATTATTCAATATGTTTAATGAGAAAAAAAAGTATTAGCATGTTTTTTTATTTTATTTTAGCAAAGAGAAGGAAAAATTAATAACCTCCCCACCCCCATCTTCTCCTACAGTATCTACTGTGTAATAATGAATCAGTCTAAACTGAAAAAAAGCATCAGAAAGCACTGCAAGCTGATATCCTGAAATGTTATGAAAGGTGGGCAGCAATGCAAGCCGCTTTTAATGCTCATTAAAACTTTTAACATTTATTTGTTACTTTATTTTCTTTATTGTTTGACTAGTGCTATGGCATTGCTCAAACAAACCCAAGCACCATTACGTCTCACACTATTTGCTGTTTATTATGGGAACATTGCAAACAGATCTAGTTAGCATATACAGTAAGACACATCTAGGTGCATTACAAAAGAAATCACCACTGTCACTCTTGTTCTTCTGAACATTGTGCACTCTCCACAAGTAAAGCTCACCCACAATAACAATAACCGCACTTCAATTTGCCACTTAACTAACAGTTACTCTTCTCCCCATAGTCAAACATGGGTTCCACTCAACAACAGGCCACTTAAAGGCCAACTACTGAATAGCATTTATATCAATCTTGTTAATTCAAGAAGTGTTTGCTTATGTTTAAAATCCAACCAATTTCTCTTAGAAGCTCAATCATGTGTATGACTGAGTTATTTGTGTCTGAAATTCATCGTTTTGAAGATTTATCACATTTAACAACCTGCTATGTGCTACCGAGTGTTAAAAAATTCATTAAGTAGAGAACCAGGGGAATTTTTCAAAATAACTCAACACTGCTGACACCAGTGAGTTTGTACGAGAACTGTGTAAGAATGTACATGTATCTTGTTCTTGTGAGCCAGCTGTATTGAATGCCTTACATTCCACTTTTCTTTGATTATTTTATCATTATTATTTAATGATACTGACCCTCCTTTCCACCATTCACAAGCAAAGTAAAATAATAAGAGTTTATAAATATACAGCACAAAAGATGAATATTGTAATAATACATATGGTTGGATTTTTCATAAAACAAGATTGCTAGCACTGCAGGTAAAACAATGAATTCATTGTAACATACTGTACACACCCTCTTTAAAACCTACAACATACCAGATGCATTGTACGTACATTACTGTAAAATGTACATATCTTCTTTTAAATATATCTTTTAGTCGAAACCAACAAAGATTAAACTCTTGTCCTTTTATATAAATAGTAAAAACTGATGTGTTGTTTAGATTTAATGGACTGTATTCATGAAACATTTATCACTGCGTTAAATTGACACCTTCTTAATCCGAAGAAAGAAACATGAAGTAGCAGTTGTAGGCATCACAGTTCTAATTAGAATACTAAGAGTCTTCATTTTTCATAATGAAGTGCTGTGAGTTTAGCATAGTGGAAAACACTTACAAATATGTTAAAAATCTAACAAATATATATAATTTTCTGTAATTTCTTAAATTGATTAATTTCATACTCATACTAGTTGGTCTTTCTTCCTTCACTACTATATAACTTTAGTTGTACACAATCAGCCTCATCTCTCGCTTAGGTTTTCCACCCACTGAGGACTTATTGATGAGTAAAACCTCTTTGAACAAATTCTATAGTAATTGAAGTTCTTCAATTAATGCTTAATAATAACTGTCTTTCAAGACAAACTACATTTAAATGTACATTTCTTTTTCATACAAGAGAATTCTGTATGGCTGTGCACATTTTGATGTGAAATATTAACTTTGATGTCCTCACTCATTAGTAAAGCCCTTACCAACTTTGGAAAATAAGGCTCTAAGTACAGGAAAAGTCTTTTGATCCGGCTTAATAGGGTTATTATTTTGTCAATATGCCCTGATTTATCTTTGAACCCTAATGTAATATCTTAGTTTAACTAGTTATAACCATGTCCCTAATTATGTCTGCACCAAATTATATACACTCTAAATAACTTTTACTTTTACAAAATTACCGGGCATGTCTGCTCACTCTCCGCACTGTGATGCCACTCGGTTCAATAAACCAGAATATAGATGGTGTGTTTTAGTGAGAATGGGAGCAGCATGATTCTCTGAAATGTATTTCAAGACCTGCTATTTTGTCTTCCACATTTGCTGCATTTTATTCACAGATTTCACAGGATGTACAGTACAGTCTGAGTAAAGTATTAAATCAAACAAATAAACACTTAATAATCTGTATATTTACATATTTAATGTTGATATTAGATTTTATTTTTAAATCAATCTAGTAGTACTCTAGACAAATATATTCTTTTTTTTTGTCGTGTACAGTAAAACAGTAATCTTACACTCATCTTACACTCTCAAATGCATAGTAACTGTCGATGATCCCAAACATGTACATACTGTATACTGTACATGATCCCAAAAGCACAAATTAAGACAATGATTTAACTAATGAGAAAAAAGTACAAGGTAGAGTAACTGAGCATGATATAACAGCTTGGAGCCATGTTATAATCAATCCAACTTACTTTCCCAAAGCAAAGCACTCAAGTTTAACAACTGATCCTTTAGCAGCAGGAACAGTCTCAGCAAAATGTACTTCTATTTTTGGTTCATATTCACCCATTGCCCCTGTAACAGAGAGACGATAAGTAAATTGTATTTGTAATCAATATTGTATGACTTGTACAGTTTATGCCTCAAAATGTATGTACAAGAAACACGTTCTCTGTATAGTTTACTCGAAGTCACTGATTCAAACTGGTTCAAAGCAAAAAAAAAACATCCTCAAAACAAATAATTTATAATACACATTTCAAGTCAGGTAGATGTTGGAAGTTCAGGTTCTTCTCATGTGGAGTTCTGGCCTCTTTCTTTTTCAGACTGACAGTAAATATTTAATCAACACCATAGGCAATGTTTGTGAGCAATGTGAGACTGCTAGACTTGTACAGTGTAAACCAAAAGTAGGATGATAGAGCTTTGAGGGAACAAAATCTGTAAACTAAGGAAAGGAGCTATATCACCAACCTAATGGGAATATGTAAATGCACAAGGGCATACATGTGTAACATTTTTATTTTTATAGGATCTATCTCTTTATCAAAACTTACCATCATTCCTCAGGACTAAAGGAGTGGGTGAACTCAGAACTTTGCCCTTTGTTATGCTGTTGATCACAGCACAGGTATAGTTGCCTACGTCCGAGGGCTCCACTTTGGCAATGTACAGATTTCCTGTTTCTTGAGACACAAAACGTCGATTGTCTTGCTGGACAAAGTAAGGATATTCATTGAAGATCCATGCATACGTAAGTTCTAGTGTGATTAAAAAAAAGATTTGTTAAAGTTTGTTAGTGTTCAAAACATTAAAAAAGGTTATAAATTTATAATGGCTAGTTTTTGCCTCAACTGAGATAGACTGAAGATAGAAGACTAAAACCGATTCTTGTGATGTACATGTATTCGTTAGGTGTGTGACAGCTAGGCTATATATATAATCTTTCACAACGCTGTCATTTGAGACATTCTACTGAGTAATTTCTTACACTTCAGTATTCATTTCAGAACATCAATAGATAGATTTTATAAGCTCCAACAAGGCTGAAGATGCCTAGAAAAGTATTTTGCTCTTCATCATTTCTCAGGGATAGCTCCATTTATGTGAAATACATAATTCTCAACATACCTTGATTTATACTATCTTCTGTATTTATTAATTAAATAAAGCACATCAGAATAGACAAAAAAACAAAAGAATTAAAGCAAGTGAAAAGCTCAGTCCTAGCATTTTGTTCCACATGCCTTTTCAAATGTCCCAGCATGCTCAGTGATTTTTCATAATGCTTAGATACATGCCTCTCTCCCTCCTGCAAAGACTGAACTAAAGGGGGGGCTTCATTGCTTTGATGCAATATTGTGTCATCCGGCTTACATCCTGAAGAAACGAAGCTTCATGTGAGCAGCTTCAGGCAATAGAAACAGCCTTGTTGGAAGCTAAAAGGTGCATGCAAAGCCTGTCACTCACTCTTATCCCCAAAATGCATACTGCATAACCTTGGCCAAGACTTCATTTCAGCCGCCAGAGCAATGATGCTTAAACTAATTCACTCTGACTAACTAGGTTGTATTCCAGCACACTGATCTAGAGGTACACTGTTATAAGACAGAACTCACAAAACTGAAAAAGTGACAATATAAAAAAAAAGAAATAAAAAGCTACTACGCTGGCAAGAACAAAGGAATAATAAATATGTTCTTAGCGGCATGTATGGGAACATTCTGTACTGTCTTTTTTTCTGAGCTGTCTGCAGGGCCCAACAAAGAAAGACCATTTAAAAATGACCAAAATGAAGATCACATTAAACCAGAATAAGAACAATTTTAGACTTAAAATTAACTGCACTGCATTCCTGTTCTAAACTATTTTAACCTTTGCATGCATAAAATATTCAATTGCTATTAAACGGATCACAAAAATCCTTCAACTATCTACAATAAATTGAAATAACAAAATGCAAAGAACCTGGCTTAGGTATCCATATATTAATATATCTATAATCTGAATCTGCTTATTCTTGGTAAATGTTGTAGCTGCCAGTCAATTTCCTGGAAACAAGACAAGACTACATCCTAATCAGGACGACAGTCCGTCACAGGGAACACAAGCACATTGGCACTCCACACAGAACATTAATCAGTCAGGAACCAAATACAAAGCTATGAAGATGCATGGTTAGTGGCTGTTCTAGCTGAATGTCTAAATATTTTAAACAAAATAAAATACTCTGCATTTATGTATTTCATCAGTTGCTTGGAAAAACACTTGGCAATTAACAGATGGACACAACATATTAACATACAGTGCATTACAAAATGACACTATTATAATGTTTAACATTATTAATTTTACTTTTTGTTTTCAAATATGCTTTTTAAGACTTTTTTTAATTTCACTTTAATAAAATGTGTATGTATCATTTGTAATTCAGCAAAATGAGTCATCATTGGAAGGGGTGAGTACCTTTGATAATCACTGTACAGTCTTTGCTTGAATGTATTTTATACAGTACAACTACTATTTACACAGGATTCTTTATAATTGGTTTACAGAGATATCAACAATGTCTCTGTCATATTGTCCATCATCGCAAATTTCACAGACACAACAGTTGTTCATTGCATTCTGTGTCAAAACTTTTTTTTTCATTTACTGTATAGGCAAAGCTATCTAGTTTTTACAAGTGAGGTGTACAGAATAAAAAAAGAAGGCTATACTTTAACTAAATTACAGCTCTTGAACTGTAAAGATATTATGTATTATTATCAACATGTGGGTGCTAACAATTTGTATAATTTGTGATTCATGTTGTTTTATGTGTAAAATGCCCATTATTAACTAAACAATTATGTTTGATGACTGACAAGCTGTTTAAAATTTGCTTCAACAATTGGATACTGTTAAAAGAACAGTAATTCATTTTTAAAATGATTTCTTCTACCAAAGGAGTCTTTCCTAGAAATATGTAACACATAGCCCATTCTATTTTAGCTACAGAAGAATGTCTGTGAACAAACAAAAAAATATTTTAGTGGAAAGAAGAACATTTCTATTAATTGTAGATCAAATGCCATTTGAATTTTTTTTTGAATGACTTACAGTCCTCACATTTGAGAAAAAGGAATCCATCACCATTCAAACAAACATAAAAAACTCCAGGGATGCTCGTATGTCTATAATGGTGAAACAATCTGAAGAACTTCAAATCTACTGCATGAAGTGCTTTCATGCTTCAACAATTCCCAAGTACAAGAGGGTGGAATCGTCTGATGAATCCGGAGAAAAATACTGACTCAAAAAGCTAGCAAACTGTTTCAGTTTCAGTTTATCAGTAGGCGGCTGTCGCATTGCGTGTCCATGTGAGAATACAGCATGATAAAGACATATCTTATCCTTGATCAGCATCAGATTTAAACAATGAAGGGACATGAATTTATTCAAACAATGCAATATTTTTTTAGATCGACTTAATACTTAACAAAGAATACTGATTCTACCATGTATAACTTCAGAGCTACCTCCAGCTAATGTTATACCAAGCACTATTTTCTTATTAATTATTAATTAATAAATTATTATTACAATTATTTTGTGTAATTAGTAGCACATTACTGTAATGTAAAGGAGCTGCTTTGCGATAACTTTTCACATTCTATGACTTTTAGATATCTGAGAAACAATGCAGTAAATGTCATCATAATGCCTTATAGCATTCTCATTTTATTATTGGATGTGTTTTGCATTTGAAGGTCCATATACTGTATGAGGTAAACAGCACTAACACTTTTTAATTGAGATTATATAGAAGAACCCTGAAACTATATTTTGATTGAGCTATTCTACTGAAAAAAAAGTCAAACAACTAAAATATAATACAAAAGTACTATTGTATTATATAAGTGATCTTTATTATAACTCATAGGTTGCATATCACACTTCAAGATGCATAATATCCCAAGGCCATAAAATTAAAGAAGTTCTTTAACCAAATTAAAAACAAAAATTTTTGACAGAATGAGGGTAATATATACAGTACTAAGACATTAAAAATGCAACCAAGATACCTAGATATTAATTTTAATATCCAGATATTAAAAATGAAACAAATGTATATCTGACCCAATAGCAGTATGTTTTTAATTCCTTTTAGTATACACTTAGTATAGTTAGTACAGTTCACAATGACCGGATGTCTTGATATTGATGCACAAGTAGGAATTTGTACTGTAGACATCATAGCAATCAACTGTTGAACAACTGTTTGCATACACTTAAAATTAGATATGTATAACATGACAATGATCACCTGCTTAATACACTAAAGCAAAATGTAATACAGCACTAGCAAACATTCTAAAATTCTTCTTTACAGAAGACAGAAAAATGCACAACAATTTTTGAAGTATTCATCAAGTCCTTTATTTTAAAAACCATATGCTGAACTAATTAAGTAGGTCCCCATTTGCCTGTAATAAATTAGCTCAGGATACATTTTCAATTTATTATCCAATCTAAGCTGAACACACTATCTCCTCAATTTATATTTCCTTCCATTTAGGTCAGGATTCCCATTTAAGAAAAGACATTTTATTTGCTTGGATACTGATTTTGTTATAAATCAAAATCAAGCACAATTATTGGGTATTTGACACAATTCCAGCTACATTGCAAAACAGACAACCGTTGCTTGATTCTTTCAGAATCAACCATGGCATTAAATATTTTTTTTAGAATTATTTCCACTGAATCACTTCAACTGAAGTGTATAATAAAATGTTGAAATACAGCCATCCTTGCTTGCACAATTCTGGTGATTAAGTAGCTTTTTTTAAGTTTCTCGTTTATGTCTTCTGTATTGTCTGGCATTCTTAGGACAGAAGAAAGCACCATAAGAGTGCCTGTTCATTGATACCAATGTTTTAACAACATATTTTCTATTTCTCTGGTGCAGTTTCAGCACTGCTTGGTCACTAAGATAACTATTTCCAGATTTCATCCACTTTCCTCTTATTTAATTCAAAGATAAGAAAAAGCAGTTTTACCGCCAGAATGCATTGGAGGTCCACACAGCAGCACAACTCCTTGTCCTTCTCGAACAGACACTGTACTTCTTGACTGAGTTTTGAAATTATCGATGACTGCACAGAAGAATTAAAAATGAAACAAACATTTTAATGCATGGAATGGAACACAATTCATTAAAAAGTAAAACATTAATTAATTTTGACTGTGGTTAAAACAATTTATTCTCGGATTTACATTCACCTTCCATTCAGTCCCTGATGTTGCTTCCAGATTTTTTAAATAAATCTTGAATTTTTGAATAAATTACAAATGATGTGGTTCAATTATAATTATTATGAGTTAAATGGTTTAACTCATGACAGCTAGATACAATTCTCAAAGTGAGAACCAGAGTGTGTTAAATCTATAAGCATATTTATTCCAGTGAAGCTGTGGGTTACATTAAAACATTATTTATTTATTAAATTTTTTGTACATTTCCTTTTATGTGAAGACATCTCAAACTATTTGATAATATAGTTAAACAGTAGCAGAAATATAACATTTTCAAAATATGTATTCATTAAATCAATTAATTAAATCAATAGTTTTACTTACAAGTTGTTTAAAATTGTACTGTAATCACACTACAATAACTGCAGTAATCCTATTTTTACTCCCTAACATTGTATGCAATATTTACTGTATACTTATATAGTATACAATTAGGAATACCATTTTTGTTTTTCCCCTTTTCATGTGTTTTCTGTTCAAAATTGACTTTGGCAAATCTTTAATGCTTTAACTTGCAAGGCTTAACACTTCTCAGTCTTTTACCTCATTGAAATATTTTTCTATTACCTAAAATGCTCATTCTTAAAGTCCTAAGCTTTTAAAACTCTTTCTGTTCCATTTGGAATTGGCCATGGCTAAGACTGCAAAGACTGCAAGTAAGTCACTGAACATTGATTCCCTAGGAAGTTACCAATGCAGACACAGAGTATTTGTACAAGAAATCTGTAAGTAAGTAGAGATATCATTTGTTTTGCGAAACGTAGGTGACAGGTGACTCAGCATCACTCTTGCAAGGTATTCCTAAAGCTTTAAAAAGTTTCGGAAGAACAATCCTTGTCAGACCACATGCAAAGACATAAACAAAGGCATCCACAACAAATTGTGTGTGCACTAAGTGCCGAAAAATATACAGTAACTCATGCATATTGTATTGCATGCTTTTAACTTGAAACATTAGTTAACACATTTCAGGTGTGAAAAGAAAAATCAACTATAGGTATGTTCATATCACTATGAAGGATACCTTGCAAGCCTTACACAATGTATTGCATTTAATTTCATGTTTCTTATGAATCCTTAAAACAGAGATTAAACATATTCCATCTATGTGTATTCGTGGTTTCAAATGAAACAAAACATCTGAGACAGGATTGAAGCCTCATCAAAATCCAAAATAATGCATCAGCAAGAACATTTCTTCCATGTATACTTACACAGTAGTTGCACATGGTTATATAATACAGTATATTATATACAGTATATGTAGTCTACTTCAAAGCTGTATTTTCCTTGTAATTTTCACAACAATGATTTAGCCAATTACTTATAACAAAAGATGGAAAGGTGATTGCTATTAGTAATTTGAGAAACAGTTTTGTCTTTTCATACATTACTGATATACAGCTGTATAGGTTATGCTATACAACCAACAAAAACTGCCTCCTCTCAAATGATCCAGAAAGTCAAGTACAAAATATTAACAAAAGAAGATAACTCAGTGCCTAAGACAAATTATGACCATTTTTAAAAACAGGATTAATGCTGCCATGCAGGAGAAGATTAATGAATTAGTCCCTTATGCTCCTGGCAAAATCCCATGCAGTGAAACTATATTAGGGATCATAGATAGTAAACTATGAGTTTTAATCTGACAATTATGCCCCTAACAATCACGGAGGAAGAGAAAGTAATGGCAAATTTCATTCTTTAACAAATTCTCATTTACACAAGAATCGCCAGCAGTTCATCTAAAAGGCTATTAGAGTGAAAAGTAAGAGAAATTATAAACAATGCAAGAATCATCACAAAGAAACGAAATGCCAGAACAGTTTAGAAAATTTAGTAATTTTTTATGTGACAGACTGAAACATAAAAGAAATATATGGTTGCCTTTCTTCCAATGCACAGTGTTAATTGGAGTGAAAAAGACATCTACATTGTCT